AATTAAAAGGGGCTAGTTTCGTCCCTGCATAACTAAATGCAAAAATTAGAAACATTTTTTATGATCATGACTAAAACACAACACGAGTACATACGAGTAACATACGAGTAACACACAAGTACATACGAGTACATACGAGTAACATACGAGTACATACGAGTAACATACGAGTACATACGAGTAACACACGAGTAACATACAAGTACACACGAGTAACATACGAGTACACACGAGTAACATACGAGTAAATACGAGTACATACGAGTAAAATACGAGTAAAATACGAGAATTAGCACGCTTTCTTTAAAGTTTCTTTCACTTTCACACTTTCACTTTGGCTTCGTATTATGTTCATGTTGTAAATGCCTTATTGACATAGGCGTACGAGACAGGGGGCCGGGGGGGGGGGCAACTGCCCCCCAAAATTTTGGAAAACCATGGAAATTCGGGCAAACGCAAGGAAAAATCAAGAAAATTCGGGCAGATTTATGAGAAAATATGTTAAAATCAGGTTATTTCTTTAAAATTCTCCATAAAAATTCGGGCAAACTTTCAACTCTCCCCCCCAGAAAACATCAGCCCCGTTCTCCTATGTGTTTTGCAAATTTAATACGTCAATTGTACACCTGTTAATACGTTTTCAACAGGGAAGTATAAAATACTTAGGGTTCATTATTTATCGGTTGGGTGGGCGGGGGCTGGTAAAATAATGGGGGATATATTTTATGGGCGTAAAATAAAGAGTGGTTTAAATCTTTTGAAGAAGTGTTTTGGGGAGACAATAAAATTTTATAGCATTGATATAAAGAAGATAGTATAGAGATAGTGGCGTAGCCAGGGCAAAAGGCGTGCGCCATTTTAGGGGAGGTCTGGGGGCATACTCCCCAGAATATTTTGAAATCTAGGGTCCCTGAAATGCAATTTCCTGCATTTTCGGGGTGCGAGTTTGCATAAGTCCGAAAACTGTATAATGCATAAAAGACATGATTTTTCGTGATGGAAAATGATGGGTTAAAATAATGCGAATTACTTTTAAAACCGAATGATGATTGAAAGTAAATATATTTTACATTTAAAAACCCAAAGTAAACCCTTTCTTCTTGGGGCCATATCTACTTACTTAGACAAGATTATACACAATTATATTGTGGATTTGGATTTTATTTCCCCCCCCCCCCCCGCCCGTTGGCTAAATCCTGTCCAGCATCCCCAAGTTGAAGGTCCTCTCTACGCCCCTGGTTGTAATTAAAGAGCACACAAGAATAGGATGGGAAGAACTACCATACGGCCATACTATGTTCTTCTTAACTTTAAAGCTGGGTTACAGTCCATTCTGCGCATGTGCGGGCTTTGTTTACATCTTTTGTTTTGGTTTGGATCCATTTCAATTAGATAATATGAAGTATACGACTATGCACAAAACAAAATGAAGAAACCAGGAGTGAAGTAAATTTTTTTTGTAAATTGTCTTCTGAAAGACAAGCAATTAAATATTTTAACAGACCACCAATGAAAGATATATTGTTGATTTAATAATTTGGCGTTTTTCTTTCGTGTGCGGTGTGATTCGTAAATGAAATATCCAGAAGAGGCCGACACAGCAAAGCCAAAGGTGCCGGGTGCGAGTTCGCAATTGTAAAATAAACTTTGGAAGTGCCAAAGTAATCATAAACCTTTCCTTGGGTTATTTGTTCGTCGGAACACACTGTCAGAGTCATTGTTGCTGTCATGGCAGCAAATGTACCGAATCGTCTCGATACACTCGCTAATAATTTGTTTACCACACTCAACTCATTGTTTTATGTTTACTTTAATACAAAGAACCAAAACTCTCCTTAATACAAAGCCGAACCACTCTCCTTAATACAAAGACGAACCACTCACTCCTCTCCCAAAAACCCCATGTGCTGAACTTCCGTTTTCTTGGAAAACGAAGCCTACTAAATTCCTAGTATTAGTTCTATCAATTTACTTCCGGTTGCGTAATATTAATGTTTATTGTTCGACAAGTCCGTTCATCCTCCCCTAAAAATCAACGCAGTTCATTTTTATAAACCAACAACAATATAAGTATTATCTATATATATAGTTTCACTTCTCAAATAGCATCGTCCTTTGCTAACTGCTGTATCTTGGCCTGCGCATCGACAGCAGCCTCTCTTCTCTCTCGAACGGGCTTGATCGGTTCTTCCTTCTTCTTCTCCACCGTCTCTGCAGTCACGCTCTTAATCTCCAAAGGGCAAATCGCTTGGAGAGGCCGTTCAAGTCTATTACCCTTATGCAACAATACGACTCCTCTCGCTACTCCATCTACTCCCTTCACGATTCGCGTCACCTTGCCTTTCATCCATTTCCCACGGTTTCTCTCTTCCCCTACGATCAGAACAATCTCCCCAACTTCCGGCGGTTGTGATTTCGCTCGGTTAATACGATGACTTTCCATCAACCCGTGTATGTACTCCTTTCGTAATCGAGTCCACGCGTGTTCTCTAGCCTTTACTAGCCTTCGATTGAACTTCGTAAGTTCCTCGTCTTCCACTTCGATATCTTGCAAGATGTGGGACTGCTGTCCCCACACAATCGAATTTGGAGTTAACACCTCTTCATCACCTCCATCGCTCTCTACGTACGTTAAAGGTCTATTGTTCAAATGCCTTTCAATATCCATAACAACAGCTTCGAGTTGTACAAAGGAAAGGTGCGTCTTCCCCAACGTCTTGTACAACGTCTTCTTTATCTCTCTGATTAATCTCTCGTACATACCACCCCACCATGGTGACTTAGCTAGGTTAAACTTCCAACGAATCTCCTGGGTTGCTAAGTGATTCTGTAGTACCTCGTCCTTCCGAATCTTTCGGATCCAATTCGCGGTTGCCTTGAACACGGCTGCGTTATCCGACACTATCAGTTGTGGTCTGGTCTTTCGTGTAATGAACGAATTCAACTTCCTCTGGAACTCTTCGGCGGACTGAGATTTTGTCACTTCCAAATGTACCGCTCTAACGACAGCACAAGTAAATATTATGATAGACGCTTTCCCTTCGGTTTTGTCTCTCTTTCTGTAGATCAACGGTCCGGCAAAATCCACGCCCGTGTGCTGAAACGGTCGGACAGCTTCAATACGGAAACTCGGTAATGAGGCAGTAGTTGATGGTTTTAGCGGTTTTGCTGCAAATACTTTGCAAACGTTACAATCGTGAATACGTCTCTTCACCAGCGAACGAAGATGTGGAATCCACCATTTTCTCCTTATCTCAGCCATAGTGCTTGCGACTCCTAGATGCATAACTTCTGTATGAACATGTCTAATCAACTTCGTCACGAACAATCCTTCCTCCAAGTAGATGGGGGTGTAGTTTGGAATTCTGCCTTGACACTTCAACACTTTCGTGACTGGATCTTCCACCAGGGACCACTCTGGTTGCTCAAGGTCATGCGCGACATATTTCTGCTCTCGCCGTATCCAACAATTCTGCGCCTCTAATATCTCGTCCGTGGTAAGAGGACCCCGACGTTTCTTTGTTCGACTCTTCTTCGCTCGAAGGTTGTACACAAATCTGAGGATCCACGCAGTAATCCGAATGGTACTCCAGTATGTTCTACGCATCAAGAGCTCGTCGAACTCGTCATGTTGGCGTTCACCGACGAAGGAGACTATCTCACGAATGGGCTTCTCTTCATGTTGGGTTTCTGATGACGACTTTAAGTTTGGCTGCTCTGGCCACTTCTCTTGTTCCAGCAACCACTCCGGTCCTTCGTACCATGCACCTTTCTCCATCTTGTTCAAGGATGCCCCTCTACTTCCAAGGTCGGCAAGATTAGCTTCAGTCGGACAATACTTCCACTGAATTTCCACTTCTTCCGTTATCTCTGCTATTTTCTTCACGCGATTCGAAACGAATGTCTTCCATGGCTTACCGGGATTCAAAATCCAGTAAAGTGACACGAGACTGTCCATCCATATCACGACTAACCGAATCGGCAATCTCTTGAGCGCTCGAGTAAGATTTCGGGCCAGGTTGGCTCCCATTTGACCACCCACTAGTTCTAGTCTAGGTATTGAGGTGTTGCGCTTGGCTAACCGAGATTTTGACGCTAACAGCCCCTTTGACTTTCTAGAGTCTTGATCAACCACTGCAATCGCCACAGTAGAGCATGCCAATGCACTCGCATCAGTAAACAAGTGAAGTTCGATAGCTTTCGTTTCACCGGCTGGCATCAAACTCCTTGGGACTTCAATGTCTCGCAATTGTTTTGTCCAATTATTCCACTGCCTTGTGAGTGCAGGGGAAACTTCTGTATTCCAACTCTTCTGTTCCTCGCATGAATCACGATAGATCCGCTTGCCCTCAATCATTGTCGGTGAAATAATTCCTAATGGGTCATAGGCTCTTCCCAATCTACTAAGAATAGCTCTCTTGGTTAGCTTCCCGTCATCATTATCTTGTAACTGAACCTTGAGAGTGTCCTCGTGTTCTCTCTGAGTATGCTCACCGTCTCACTCACTGCATCTGACTGTTGATCATAATGATATTCTAGCGTTGCACCTAACATGAAGGGACTCGCTTCTGCGCCGAATGGTATACGTGCAAAACGAAACTGTTCCTCTCTACCGTTTATATTGAAAAGAAAGCGAAACGCATCCCGATCTTCTTCGCCAAGGCCAATTTGAAGGAACGCCTTCTCGATATCTCCAATCAACAGGTATGGTGACATTCGTGCTCGGACTAGTATGTCCCATAACAGGGGTTGTAAAGGAGGGCCTGGGTACATGCATTCATTCACACTGCTTGAAATAGGTTGTGGTTTGGCGCTGGCATCGAAAACCATCCGGGTTTTTGTCGTAATTGCATCTTGTTTGATTACAGGTTTATGCGGCATGTAAAATACCCGTTCCCCAGTTGGCGTGTCAGGGGCTTTCTCTATTATTCCGGCCGCAACTTGGTCAATAATGATCTTTTCGTAATCCTTCCGCAAACACTCATCTTGCTCAAGTTTCTTCTCCACTCGCTTCAAACGTAATCTACTCTGCGTTTCATTTGTCTCACTCAACTGAGTCCCTGGAATCCAAGGAACTTTTACCTCGTATCTCCCGTTTATGTCATGAACAATGTTCTCCTTAAACTCTCTGTGCACATCAAGTTGATCGTTCTCACCCCGATCTTCCACTCCTAGAACATCTAAGCTATAAAGTTGTTGGCTATCCTGATCCTCATGTGAAAACCAACACCCATCACTTGGAAACTCCCCACCATGGATTGTCCACCCGAGTGTAGTACCCTCAACAATGGGATCACCCGGCTCCCCCTTGAAAACTTCTTCTGTCTTAATTCTACAGTACGTACTGTCCCCCAAAATAACATGCATTTGGTACTCATCACTCTGCTTCATGTAGAAACTCTTATCAGCCGCATGTCCGTATTTTGACTTTAAATCACTCAATTTTGGACGTCGAACTGTTGTAAAATCAGACATCTTACTGCCAGTTAACTCTACACTCTCCCTCGTTTTACCATCAAGCGATGTCATGGTTACTTCGAAAATAGGCAAGGACTGTTTTGTAGTCCCACTCAGTGTAACTATCTGGCGTGTTTCATGACGGACTGGGGTCAACTTCAACTTTCTGGCAGCATCACTAGATATGAAATTTCTGCTAGATCCTGAATCTAAGTAAGCCCACAGGGTTGTGCCCTTTATATTAACAGGGATCATTGGTGGAAGTGTTTGTCCTTCGACTGGTGACGTATATCCGGTAAATACAGAATTACCAGTATTATTCTCCTGGTCACAGAGACTAGTGTGATGCCTAGCCCTACATTTAACACAACCTCGACTGCGGCACTTGTTTGCTCTGTGTCCAGCTCGGCCACAGTTAAAACACAACTGGTTTTCTACGAAATACTTTTTTCTTGCTTCTAATGATACAACTGTCTTACAATCATCTCCCCAATGATTTTTCTTACAAAAAATACATACAGGAGTTACTGGCTTACCGGTCTGTACTTCGTTACCACTTCCCTTTGATGTAAACCAAGACCCTTCCTTTCGAGTTTCTCCTGGATCCACCTTGTGTCGACTCAGCCACTTCCGGATTTCATCAATAAGAGCCGCCATGTCCCAATTCTCCCAGTTGTCATCAATTCTTACGAGATCAGGCTTCACTTGCGGTAATTTATTCACTGTCGTCATGACAAACCCTTTCAGCATATCAGCTTCGCTCAGTGTTAACAACGCATCATAGTTCCAACTTAATGCTTCGTAAAATTCTCGAACTTTCATGTAATTGTGTCCCTTGACAACAGGCAGATTAATTATCTCATCTACATGAGCATTTACCACTAATTTAGTCTGTCCGTATTCCTTTTTTAACCTGTCCCACGCTGTTTTATATCCAACCTCTCCAGGTTTTAAATTTGCAATTTTATCTCTAACCTTTTGACATACCATCTCCAACAAATATCCGAATTTCTCCTCGTCTGTGATCGGTTTTCCGTGTACTTGTGTCAAAAATATATTTTCAAAACGTACTCAGTCCGTAGCTGTCCCTTTAAATGGTGTAATTTCCAATTTGGGCAATTTCGCTGTCGTCCCCCGAGCCGATTTCTCTATTTCCATCTTTTCTTGCGTCATACGTAACTCTGCTTCGAGTTTCGCCTCCCATAATTTACGTTCGTGCTCCTCTTGTCTCTCACGAAGTTCCGCCATTCGCCTCTCGTGTTGTTGTTGTCGTTTTTCCTCTAATTCCGTTTGCCGTTGCTCAGATTCTCGCTCTAAATCATCTTGTCTACGTTTGACTTCCCGTGTTAATTTCTCTTTGTCCTCGACCAACGATAAATACTTAGTTCTCACGTCTTTCTTCCACTGTCTCACTGCCCGAGGCGTCGTACCATTGTCAAGTTTTAATTCCTCTGTTTGCGCTATTATGTCCGTCAATTTGTTGATTATTTTCCCAGCTCGTTTGTCCAAAATATCCATCTCTGCATAGTCCCTGTTTTCGATTAATTCGTCTGCTTCCTCCAAGAAATATTTTAGCTTCGAAATCTCTTTGTTTATCTCGTCTTCGAACTTCTTTTCGTCTTCGTTTACATGAGTTTCTTCGCCACTGTCGTCGCCCATGTTGTCGTTTTTTAAATCTCACAAATATCTCACAATATAAGTCGTATTTTGTCGATGTTTTTCCTCGCGATTCTCACAATAAACTCTCAAATTATCCTGGTCACGGCACCACAAATGTACCGAATCGTCTCGATACACTCGCTATATATTTGTTTACCACACTCAACTCATTGTTTTATGTTTACTTTAATACAAAGAACCAAAAACTCTCCTTAATACAAAGACGAACCACTCACTCCTCTCCCATGTGCTGAACTTCCGTTTTCCTGGAAAAACGAAGCCTACTAAATTCCTAGTATTAGTTCTATCAATTTACTTCCGGTTGCGTAATATTAATGTTTATTGTTCGACAAGTCCGTTCAGTTGTACGTTGGGAGAATAATCTACATGTTTCTAAAGAGTCGTTTAGCCTGCTTATTTTTAATATTTTACACAAGTCTGCCAAACACGGCAAACAGTCAAAGAGACCTATTTTGGTAGTATGACAAACCCGGAAGTTTAAATAGGTCGCAAAATATATAAAACCGGTTTTGCAAGTTCTCAATCATTAACTGAGCATGGAAGTGAGATTGGTATTGCGTGCCACCAGAGATTCTCTTCCGCCGTGCCTTAGTACAAATATACGCGGCTGCAAAAGAACCTCTGGAACCGGAGTAGGATGTCATTAATTCGGGAAAGAGTTTTTGATTTGTATGAAACCAAGTTTTTATATTAGTTTATATTTTGAATTTCAAATTGTTACTTGGAATTTCAAGTTGATATACTTGGAATTCTGAATAAATGCAAATTTCTCGAGATATATCAGACTGTCATAGCATGGTGGTTCAAATGGTATTGTCAAGCCAAACCAGTTATCTCCTTATAAGGATATTGAGAGGCTGTCGTTTAAATCACGAGATGTTTTGAACACAATACGTATTACGACAAATTAAGGTGTTGTCTCAAACACAAAATACAGTTGACGTTGTGGACATCAATTTGTTACAGAATCTTCAAAGATTACATAATACATATTACCAACTTTGGTAAGTCTCATTTCATCATCCTTGTAATATTTAACTAACTAAGGGTGCGTTCCTTTAGTGCAATCCGGATTTGGATCTTCAAATCCGATTATCATTTTTCAGTTTCATTTAAAAAAATCTTAAAATAGATTCGAATCTGATGAATCCACCTCAACATATGGATTTTTCGGATTCAATCTGAATCTTGATTAGGATTCAACGTTCCTTTTGAGCTTCTGGCCTTCTAGCATGTACCTTGACCCGACCGCAATGTATAGTGGGATAGAAAACTCATTGTAAAAATGGCGGGGAAACAGCAGGCGAATTCCGATTCTCACAATTCGTTCCATTTGTTTAACGAATCCAAAAAATCCGAATCCTAAAAATCCAAATCTAGATTTACAAAAGAAACGCTCCTTAATAATACCTAATCACTTTGCGTCATGCAATGCTAAGGCCTCGCTGCTATTTTTTGTAGACTTTATAGCCAAACAACTAGATCCGTGAACTATATTTCTGAAGATTGAGAGTTGAAAATCTGTCACCATTCCTTGACATTGGTAAGGCTAATTTCATTATGCCTGTATTATTTAACTAACTCATAACTAATCCCATCATTCGAACGCCAAGAACTCGCTGCCAATCTTTGTGGACTATATAGACTTTTGAAGATTGAGAGTTAAAATATTTAATAAACCATCCTCGACTTTGATAAGTTTACTATTACAAACCTTATAATGTTTATTCATGCATGCAAGTTTTTAATGAAAACATGAGGAACTTTTAAAAGTCTCGCTACTTCCTGACTTTTTTGCGTATGTGAAATTTAATGCTTTACCGTTAGTAGTAAATGTATCAGACATGTTTAATAGAAACCGTTCTTGTCAAACGATTGCAAATGTCACAATAAGCATAAAAAGTTCACAGAACAAGAGAGATAATTGTGCAATACTTGAACAAAAATGATTTAATCTGTCAAAGACATTTCATGACAATTCAGGTTTAATAAAAGGTTTAGCCCTAACACAAGGTTAAACCCTAACATACTCTAGGGTTAATCGCAGCCTTATATGTGTCACTAATTCGGAAACAGTTCTTAATTTGTGTGAAACCAAGTTGCGATATATTAGTTTATATTTTGAATTTCAAATTGGTACTTGGAATTTCAAGCTGATATACTTGAAATCCTAAATAAACGCAAACACCTCACTAGTGTGACAATATCATCTTAACCACCGTGCTGTGGCAATCTGATATATGTATATAAAATAGTCACACCACGGTAGTTAAGATGGTAGGCGTATTGTCACGCTAATCTGACTATCTCCTTAATATAAGAATGTTGAGAGGCTGCCGTTTAAATCACGAGATGTTTTGAACTCAATAATATACATATCAAGACAAATTAAGGTGTTGTCTCAAACACATATACTGTTGACGTTGTCTACTGTACATGAATTTGTTACAGAATCTTCAAAGATTAATTAAATAAGTCATCACTCGCCAACTTTGGCATTTTCTAAGTCCGATTTTATTGTGCTTGTTTTTAATATTTAACTAGCGCATAATACCTAATCACTTTCCAAACGCTAAGAACTCGCTGCGAATCTTTATAGACTTGATAGCCAGGCAGGCATGTGCTAAAACCTGGACGATGGACTATCGACGATGAATGATTTTTATTTAGCTACAGTCGAGACACTTAAACCCACACACTTCCGCTCTTGTACTTTGTTGTCATTTATTGTATAATTCGTCGTGTATTAATAATAATACTAATATTGCAATACTTGTAACAAAGAATGGCTTCTCCGTAAGATTCACTGCATAAGTAGCAAATTTAACTTTTATTATTGCATGGTAACACATAATTCGGTAGCCACAAAAGTAATACAAAACAAAATTCCAATTGAGTTCCTGGGGATGATAGGACAGGAGAAATTTACCTTGCCATTTTGTCCTGGCTGCAGGGGACTTCACTGAATTTCACACACCGACCAAATTAAGTGAATGCCCCTGGTATGCCCGAGGTGGGGTCTCTAATTCTTCTGTCATATTGGTTGAGATCATGAATTTACACTGTTTCCTGTCAACAGTACAGAATAGAATACTTAATCTGTTGACTTATTGCAAATCTTGTAGGAATTGAAATTATAAATCAGTAAACTATTATTATTGACAAAACTTAAAATTTGTATATGTATATATGGAAGCTTCTAGCCAGGAGACATCCTCCACGTCTGTATAAAAATTGATTTTAAACAAACCATTACAAAAGTGACGTGAAAGTTGCTTTGTATTTTGAAATTCTGGTTTAATAAGCCTCCTGCTATAGATATATTGAACAGGAAAACTTTTCTTTTTTTATTTATTTTTTTTTTTTATTATTTTTTTTTTTTTAAAGAGGATAACACTTGACAGTACGAATACTGATAACTCCGTGGTCCTCTGGTAGCATTCTTACAGTATTTCTAAGTCTAAGGATATTAAAATATATATACATGAAGTGAAGAATCATTATAATAACTACAATTAAAGTTAATTGTTTTAAGTACTTTAAAATTAGGAAAGTTTTTGAGCATCTAAAAAATCCTTGTATAGTCTATGTTTAAAACTGTATAGGCTTGCAGAATTCCTGATTTTTACATTAATAGTATTCCAGTCTTTGATAGCCCTCACTGCGAATGTTTTTCCACCCTCCGTTATTCGATTATATCGGGGGTATATCATGTTAATCTTGGAAAAACGTGTTTCTCGATTGTGGATGTCAGAATTTCTCACCAGCATAGAATTAATATATATAGGACAGTTGTATGAGTCTTTTACACGTTTGTAAACTATACTACTTCTTCTAATAAATAGTTCATCAGTGAAAGGAATCCAATTTAACCCATTAAATAGAGTTTTCGAAGGCGTTGTCTTTTCCACGCTTAAAATAATCCTTGCTGCCCTCTTTTGTAGTTTCAGTATTCTGTCAAGATTCTCTTTACTGCAACATGACCATACAGCACTTCCATACATAAGCTTCGGTTTAATGATCCCATTATAATAAATTTCTCTTTGTTGTTTTTTTAAATATGGACTGATGTGCTTCAGCAGACCGAGTCGTTTTGAGATCTGTTTACATAGACTGTCTATATGATCTTCATATGCTAAATCTTGATCTACTATAACACCAAGGAGTTTTTGACTTTCTACTTGGGATACTGTCGTACTTCCTAAAGCAAGATCCATTTGAAGATGTTCGTCTGGTATTTTCTTCCTTAAACGCTTTCCGGTAACAAGCATAGATTTGGTCTTTTCCGTATTGATGACCATTTTGTTGTTAATGGACCAATTACATATACTATCGAGGTCTTTTTTCAAATCTTGAACCATGGAAGGGATATTTGTCCACTGTGTACTAGCTGATAACGTTGTGTCATCTGCAAATATATCTAAGTTCGAATTTGAAACATGAAGGGGAATATCGTTGACAAACAGAAGGAACAATATAGGGCCCAATACAGATCCCTGAGGTACGCCGTGTGTTACAAATTGTGGTCGAGATTGTTTACCATCAATTGTAACGAATTGCGATCGGTTGGTAAGATACGATTTAAACCATTGAAGGGTAGACTCACTAGCTCTGTATAGTTTAAGTTTCTTTAGCATAATTTGATGGTCCACAATGTCAAACGCCTTCTTAAAGTCTATAAACAAGACGCCAGTAACATTATCTTGATCCATGTTTGACAATATTTGATCAGTAAGTTTTATCAACGCTGATTCTGTAGAATGACCTTCTCGAAATGCAGATTGTAGTTCATATAATAAGTTGTTGTTTACAAGATAATTCATTAAGGATTTGGCCACGTGCTTTTCAAGAATCTTCGACAATACAGATAATACTGATATTGGTCGGTAGTTATTACTCTGATCACGTTCTCCATCTTTATAAAGGGGGGTAACACGAGCCATCTTCCATGCAGATGGAAATGTATTGGTGGCTATCGAGTAATTTAACAATTTAGTTAATGGTTCGCAAAAAACCGGTGCAATCAGTTTAAGGAGTTTCACACTTATTCCATCAGAACCTATAGCTTTATTATTTGACAGTTTATCTATTATTTCTTGGACATCTTTGCTCGTTATTTCAGGAATGCTAAACTGGGCTTGATCGTCTAAGATCTTCGATGATACAAACTCCGCAATTACGTGTTCATGAAGAAATTCTCCAGCTTGAGTCGTGTTGTCTCCCACTTGTTTTAAGATGTTAATAAAGAAATTATTCATGATTTCGGATATTTCCTGTGGCTCCGTGTACTTATTTCCGTGATCGTCAGTCAGCTCTGCTATTTTAATTGATGGTTTTTGTGTTTTTGCTAATTGCTTTAGAGCTTTCCATATTCCTTTAGGGTCATCTTTGTTTTCTTCAATCGAATCTTGAAAGTAGCGTTGTTTTGATTTTTTAATAAAATTAGTAACTATGCGTTTTTTGTGTTTATACATGTCCCAATCTATACATGATTCTGACTTACGAGCTTTCTTAAGTAGAGAGTCTCTTTGGTTGATCGCTTCGATGATTTCATTTGTAATCCATGCTGGTTGTTTATGCTTTTTTACACGCCTTTGTTTTTGCGGAATATGATCATCCAGTACCTGGTTTAATAATGACCCAGTGTTGCTAATATGTCATTTACATCATCAAAAATAAAAGCACTATCCCAAGGGACATTTTTTAAATCATCTAATAGATTTTCCTGGTTTAAGTTCTTAAAAACACGATAGTTAATGACTTTATGGCTTGCGTCCATATTTAGTTTGGTGTATTTTCTGCAAACGAACACCGCCGGCAGGTGGTCTGAAGTTCCAATGTCTTCCAACACTACGTCTGTGACAAAATTAGGGTGCGAAGTATAAACATGATCTAAGCAGGTTTTACTGGCTGGTCATGTAATCGTAGACACAAGCTGAGTTATATGCATCCTTTTTAGCGACTTGATTAAACGGTGTTTAGAATACAGACGACTGTCCAAGGCATTAATATTGAAATCCCCTACAATAATCATTTCTTGTTTTCTCAAATATGCCATTTCAATGTTTTGCTCAATTTTGAGATCATGTTCTTTATCCGTAGACGGAGGGCGGTATACACCCCCAACCAAAATCGTTCTTTTGGAATTGTGTGGACAAACAGTTAGCCACAGCGATTCTACAGAACCTCGTCAAGTTCAGAAACTCGCTATTCGTCTGGACTTTTTCTGCCACGTATGTTAGTAATCCACCGCCATTTTTTCGGCCTATTCTATCTTTCCTGTACATATAGTAACCCGGAATATTGAATAGGGAATCTGGTTTTGAAGGTTTTAGGAAAGTTTCAATTATAAATAGGATATCAATGTTTGTTGATGTAGTTAATAATAGATTCATTTGTTCGAATTTTGCATCGGTTAGGTGATTTATATTCCACTCGCCTATTCTCAGTCCTCGTTTGGGTAGCTTAATTTGGCGAATCTTTGCTTCGGAATCGTCGTTTCCACTGTTACTTGGACCAGGATTTCTTTCCACATTAAAGGTTGCATCGGTGTTGTTGTAATAGCGTAAACTGGAAGCCAAATACTTGTGTCTTCGACTTGTCTTTGTCGATGTTATGCAAATGTGTTACCGTATTGCGAGTTTGAAATATTTATTGAACCAATGTGCTGCTTCTCCATAAAAAGTACAGTTTGATGTTTTGAGTACCTTGCCTTTGTTAGTAGGTTTCTGTTTGCTTTCTCCATCGCATTATATTGCCAAAGACAGCAAGAACACGAAAACGTATCGGTACTGCATCCTAAAAACTTTTCATTTAAATTTTTCCCTGCCAAACAACTGGGTGCTGTCAATAAATTTATCTTTTATCTCGTGTAAATTGTCCAGGTTAAAGCACAATATCAGTATTAAGAACCATTGTTAAATGTACAACTCACCACTGTATTCATACAGATAAACCTACCCGTTTAACTGCAACAGTGCCAACTAGCTATGTTTTCATGAAAAAAATATACATTTATTTTTAACTATACTTTGGAAAATCTCAGATTAAAGTACCTTGGCATTTCACAGTTAAAGTTCTTCCAACCAAAAAGAAGAGAAGATAACAGCAGATAACATAAAATAAAACTTAACTCCACAACTTAATTTAGCGCCATAATATTTAATTTGGCGGTCCCATTGGTAACGCGAAGAGGACTGGACGCGGATCAAGGATGTGTCCAACTAACAATGAGGTGTCGGCCGACTGTCAACCTACAAAATTGACTCGACGGTTTCGATTTCTATTCTCAAAACTGAGTATTTTACCCTTGAACTAATTAAGTTTATATAATGTTTAAAAGTGATAAACACTACATGTTAACTATACAAAAAATATGCACATATAGCAGTTAGCATTCTAAAATAATAATTTATGTCGTTTGGTTGTGATTAAACCCATCCATGTGAAATGTGGTTGTCAAATCAGTCACCGTTATTGCAATAATACATCTTAATTTAACTGGAAAATCTTTAATCTTTAAAATCTTTAATAATTTAATTTATTTACATTAGAGCAAATGAAATGTTTTTATACACGTCGTTTTCTGTATAGCATGCACATACATCAGTTTATATTAAATATCCCTAGGAAAAGTATTAAATGTTTCTTCGTTAAAATGTTTAACACGTTGTTAAAATATCTTCCAGTACATTTCACGCTTTCTGCTGCATGGTGTAGTGTCGCATTTGTTGCTATTCATTTGCTTGCTAAAAAATCATCTGAAATGTTTCGGGAATTCCGCAACTTATCTCGTCGCGAATTTAGCTTTTTCTGACTTCATTATTTTACATTAAGGCCGTTTTCCACTAGGCGGAATTTTCTGCGCGGAGTGGAATTTTTCTTTGTCTTGTGATTTCTCGGGTGGAACTAATTATAGAAAAGACAAAAAGAAATTCCGCTCCGCGCGGAAAATTTCGCCTAGTAGAAAACGGCCTTTGAACCTAAATTAAAATGGGGTGGCTTAATCCACTTTTAGATACTATTAATACCAGATGATATAACTGTTGTAGCTATACCTTACAGTAAAGTACTTGAATATAAATAAATCCTTTTTCCGACATAACATTCGTGCACAATGCTATAGACTCGAGTAAAACAATAATTTATGTCGTTTGGTTGTGAATTAAACGCATGCATGTGAAATTAAATGTGATTGTCAAATTTTGGTCAAATCAAACACCGTTATTACACGTCTTTCATGGTTTCAAAACGGAAGCTTCAATCTTATGGATCACTGATGATATGTTGCTATATAGCCTACGTTTTTAAAAATATTCGTGGCATGCATGATCTGATATTAAATACTTATGAATACTAATAAAATGTGAAAAATCTTTTACCGACTTTAATATATTTACATTACAGCAAATGAAATCTGTATTAATATACATTTAAGTCGTTTTTATATTAAACATTCCTAGGAAAGGTATTAAATTTTCTTCGTTAAAATGTTCTACACGGGGTTAAAATATCTTCCAATGTATTTCACGCTTTCTGCTGGTTTTGTGTCGCATTTGTTACTCTTTATTTGCCTGGTAAAAGATCCTCTGAAATGTTTCAGGAATTCCGCAACTTATCTCATCGCGAATTTAGCTTTGTCTGACTTCATTACCTGCTTAGCTGGCTTGATACGAATGACAATGGCTTGGAAAATCTCATTAACCACAGTTTTCTATATATGGGATACAGCTTCGTTTGCATCATTGCTGTCTATATTCGCAATCGCAATTGATCGCTATGTGTTGACAGTACATCCATTTAAACGTCGTGTGCTTTTAGTAAATGGAAGAAGAATTGCTATTTGGATTCTTTCGTTATGGCTTCTAAGCTCCTGGCTGTTGGTAAAAGATCTTACATTTGGCACCAGCCAAATAGACAATCAAATATACGACACAATATTTATTGTAATTTCTTTGGTAACTGGTTTGATATACATATTAACATATCTTTCTTTGAGAAAGCGACGACGGATCATATCTGAACAAAATCAGTCGCGAAGTCGGCCCTTACAAGAGGAGTTTTTGAAAACGGTTTTAATTGTGGCGTTTATCCAAATTTTAACCCTGGTTCCATTAAGTTCCTTTTCTTTGGTTCATGGTTGGGCGATTGATTTTAACAATTCAGTTTCAAAATTAGTCGTTTATTCAATGTACTGTATAAACATTGCAATAAACCCTTTCTTCATGTATATATGGAGACTTAGGAACTATCGACAAGCATTTCGCTTGTTTTTTTTCACGAAATTGTGTTAATTTAATTAAAGAAACTAAAATTCGGCGAGGAAGTGTAAATATATAATACATTTAACGATGTCACCATGGATTGTAAAATAACTGGATAGGAAACTTCCTGACGTCACAGTCTAAACCTAGTTGCAATCTGTGACGCCACGTGTACTGCCAAAGTTCTCAGCATTTCTGTTGTTTCGCTATATTTTCAGCTTTAAAAGAGTAATATTGAAGCATAAACTGGTCTAATTGTTTTAAAAAACTGCTTAAGTCACGACAAAGTATTCAAGGTAAATGAGTTTCGTCTTTGTTTTGTATTTTTTAACATTTGTAGCTACGAAATTGGCGTCGCCAATTTTTACGAAAATTGCGATGCATCGCTGTTTAGTGCTTGAAATATTTGTATATAAATATTTTTCACTGTTTAGTGCTTGAAATATTTGCTAAAATTGACCGGGAATACTTAGAGATTTCATCGTAGAATGACCTAGTTATATTTATTTGCTCTTTGGCTAAAATGTTTAGCTGTAGGCCTATTATCGCTAAACATGCCGTTTTTGAGAATTTGGTTTGCAACTAGGTTTCAACACCATCATCCCATTGAAAACATTAGGTCACGTCAGCTAGTGTCCTATGCATGTATTTTATTATCCATGATGCCACCTTTCAGAATTCTGATGTATGCAAGCAATGGAACGACCTCATGCACAGTGAGCCGTTTTTCCCGCAGTCACGGTTAGAATTCAGAAGCAGTACATATAGTATTTTGAAATAATTGTAAAGACACGATTACGTTTGTCACGTAAAATGAGGGGCTGGGTAATGTTGATTGTCGCCACAGTGAAAGCTATCATACCGATCCACTGCTATTCTTCTTCTTCATGTGGCTATATTCTGAGCGTTTCTAACAACTTGAAATGGAATTCGATCGACTATCACATTGACTGAATTATATCGAAAGCGCGAAAGCGTCTCTATTTTCTCTCCTAACTTAAGAGAGCAAGAGTTGGGAAGAAAGAACTTGCCCTATTCTTTACAATGTGCATAAGACGTACCAATTCTTGAATACGCAAGTCCTCGTATTCCATAATGGTTTGACAAATTACCTCAGTCAGGGTTTGGAGCGGATCTATTCGCATTGCGAATTGTTTTACCTGGAAAAAGTATAGATTGGAAAATTTTATTTAAACACGCTGACCCCGTCAACCGAAGCTGATTTGCACGAGGAACGTGAATTTTTTATCCCGAGTCAGTCAATCAGCGTATGGGAAAAATCACTCAACAGAAACAGCTTTACTAAAAGTCCAGAACGAAATTCTCCTCAGTATGGATCGCCAGGAGGTTACGCTTCTTGTGCTAATCGACCTAAGTGCCGCATTCGATACTATCGACCTGCATGCAATCCTCCTGGAGACACTTGAAAAGGACTTTGGTGTAACTGGAAATGCCGTCAAATGGCTAACATCTTATATATCCGAGAGAAAACAAACGATTTTAATTAAAGACCATAAATCGGAAGTTTTCAATCTTCAATCGGGAGTACTGCAGGGTAGCTGTCTTGACCCTCTCCTCTTCATACTCTACGTGGCTGGGTTATTTAAGATCATTGATAAAAATCTTTCTAATGCATATACTTATGCAGATGACACCCAGATTTATCATTCGTTTCGGCCAGATACATCTCTATCGCAAGATGCTGCACTAAAGAGTATTGAAAACTGTGTTGCTGACATTCGTACCTGGTGATACGCCATAAGCTTTATAATCTTCTAGATCTTTCACCACGTAATGAAACTGTTAATATGACTCCTAGATTCAGTCATAGATTTAACGTAACAGTTGCATTTCAAACCGACCGTTTTAAAAATAGTTTTATTTATACATAATGCATTAAATTATTCGTCGTAAAATTATCGACTATACATGCATCTTCAATTTTTATGTATAAATTATTTATTTATAATAATTCATCAGAAAAAAAGTTGCATCATGTCCAATAAGGCACATGTAATATTTATATGCGTATTATATAGACAAAGGAATTTTAGAAGCCATTTATAAACGTCGTGATCGGCTTTCATCAAATCGCCGCCTTCGGCTCATGTCTTTACAATAACGATAAAGCCCTCTTACAAACCTCGCTTCCCGGCTCATATACCTGATCAAGAGGGAAGGCCTGCGTACGAAGTTCCCCTCTTTTTCACCTTTTGTAAATATGTTTTAGTGATTTGCTAAAGCCATCTATAAACCACAGTTGTGGTGTTGAGCCAGACTATATGTTCCGAACAAGACCAAATGAATTTAGAGCAGTGCTGGCTTGTGATCGGCCTTTATCATTGTATTGGCTCGCCTTCGGCTCAAGTCTTGATCATTATAGTGATAAAGCCCTCTTACCAACCTCGCTTCCAGGCTCTTACATGGGGCTTCGCTGGCGGCGCAGTCGTCAGAGCAAGCGCCTTCCACCTCTTAGATCGTGTGGGCCGTTTTGTGAAAAAGTACCTGGGGCTAGGAAAACAAATTCGTGGAACCCCATGGCCGGAAAAGATTTTCTATGGTTGAATGCTAGGTACCATATAAATTCTCAATGACCATGTACAAAAAGTTCCTAAGCAAAAAAGTTTTGCAAACTTTATCCACAGTCTACACTGTCAAGGAAGTTTGCGCACGCTGGTTCCCAATTCCTTCGATCAAGGGACTGTATCTATCGGTTATATATTTTCTTTATTATAATTGCGTTACAACAATTGAACAATTCTCTAAATCTCCATTCAATCTCAATCTCAAATCCCAACTTTTAACTTCCTTTCCTTACATTTTACAACTCTATTTATAAGATTGGCTAAGATCTCTAAGCCAAAGCATTGCTGCGCGCATTCCTGAGATTCCCGCGCTTGGCGGCCAAAAAAGCGAGGGTTGCTGCGGCGTTACGTTAACCTAATCTTCGTTCATCCGTTTATTGTAAGTTTTGGCAAGAACAACTATACATTTTTCCCACAAACGTCCTCCTTATTTTACACGCTAGTTTACATTGTCCTACATATAATTGGTATAGCGCAACTTTTGCGACAAGTTTTTTGCTTGGGAGCTTTTTTTGGTAGTAATTAATATAACTTTTAGTTTATGTCTTTTAATTAAAATAACCACAAACCAAGTACTTCCCACATGGGTGCCACGAAGCGAAATAATTTTGGCCCACGGCCTATATAGTGGGTTCAATTCTCGCTATGGATCGACTCGGCATGCATGTGAAAAGAGTCAGTCAACGCTCTCCCAAAAGTCGTGGGTTCATAGTTTCTCCTGGTGCTCCGGTTTTCTCCCACAAGGCAAATTGACAGGGTGCATGGGTTAGGATAAACACAGTTCAGAAAGTAATATCACAATTTCTAAAATAGTCTAGGCTCAGTAAGTAATTATAGGTAAGAGTAATACTTGATGTAAAACGCATTTGATCATATATCCACTGGGAAGTTACGCTCTTACTCTTTTTGTAAATATGGTTCAGTGATTTGCTAAAGCAGACTGGCAACCACATTTTGGTGTCAAACCATGTTCAAACAAGATCAAATGAATTTGGGGCAGTGATGGCTTGTGATCGGCCTTTATTATTATTATCCATGAATTCCCGAACAAGAGGGTCCTGAAGGGGTAAAATGGGAACTGGGATTGATCTATTTTTAGACTGGGAAAATGGGATTTGGGCGGCTGGGACTGGGATTTGGCACTGGGAATGGGAAATGAAGTCCTCAAAAATGGGAATGAGATTGAGGTAATGCGAGTCGATTCCCAATTTTTCCACGTTTTAAGTATTTTAAAATACAATTTTGATCCGTTTTTGGTGTCTTTGGTGATTATTTTATTGTTAGCTATATTATTCACAGCACTACCTGCGAACAGGCATACTCTGGCGCCCGGAATTCTGGGTTTTCTAATTATGCGTGTCCCCAAGTCAGATGCACAGCGGAATATATGCCTGGTTTCCGGTATATTCTTCATTTAACCCTTAGTATATACCTCAAAGGCAAAGCATAACTGCTTCTGCACACACGATGACTTAAAAGGTCTTAAAACTGTTTATTCTACCGATAAATAACGTTTTTTTCATTGACTGGGATTTCGATAACTCGGACTGGGATTTCTAATAAAAATCCAACTGGGACTGGGATTTTGCCAAAATTTCAGGTGGGAAATGGGATTGGGACACCCCCCCCCCCATTCAAGACCCGCAAACAAGAGTGGCATAGGTCCCTGACAGGGAGACTAAGTTCTTGCACGCAATAATATATAAAGCTATTGTACTGTGTGTTCAACCTTGGCGGGTTCCTGGCATGTTTCCCCCAAGGAACTGCGCTGTGTCCCAGAAACGGTCAGTTTAAGGTCATCAAGTTTAGATTAGTGTCAGATTATTTAAGATTAGACTCGGGTTATATTAATATTAGATTAGGGTTAGAGGTTAGAGTTGGGGCTAGGGTTGGGTTTCCCCTAGATAGATTATTATCATCTATTTGTGCACTTTTGACAAATGATGCTATTCATCTATTTATCCCGGAGACTGTGCTGTTAAATTCGAGTCACTGAAATGGTTTTTCCTGCATTTGGAATTCACTTTGCGGCAGAATACAATTGTCTCAGACTACGCGTTCACACTACGCCGGAGAGAAATAACGCGGGCAGAATTTCCGTGTGTTCACACTACGCCGGAGCGAAATAACGCGGGCAGAATTTCCGTGTGTTCACACCACGCCGTTACAGTTTGTTTACAAATTAAATTAGCACTCTCTCACTCATTAAAACCCAAAATATTTCAAATAGAACGATACTTTAAACGTAATGCATACGAATTTACTGTCATGAGACCTGAGATGCTATGTTTGGAAGCGGGACAAAAACATAACGCCGTTTGTGTTCACTCGAAGCCCCGAAGCGCGCCATTTTCATCTCGCTCGGTTTAGAAAAAGTGCTTTCAAACAATTTCGCTCCGGCTGGTGCAGACTGTTCTGCGCCGTTTTCAAGTGTGAACGAGTGAATCTCAGTTTAATGGTGTGTTACAAAACACTTAGTTACAAAGCATAGTTTCTTCCCCGACAAAATACTATTTTTCCCCGAGTGGGTGAGGGGCTAGAGCCCCCGACAAGGAGTAGGTAACCGCGTGCGAGAATTGTATGATTTCATGCGTTAACACATCGAAGTCGTACAAATTTGTAGACGGTTCCGCTGTGTAAGTCAATTGTTTAGGCTTAGTTACGTTAATACGATTATATCCCTTTGTATCTATTTCCACCTTTTACGATTTTATCACATTTCTAGATGTGTACCAAGCTGCACTGACGAAGTGTAGAACGCTAAATCATGCATGTCTGCAGATTGTACAATTACGCTTCTTCACTTTGGTGTTGTTGAGCACTTGACTCTGTGGAGTTGTTAATGGGTGTCTATTAGCGATAATGCGAATCTCACTTCCCTTACGATCGTTTGAGCACTCTGGCCCCATTACACTCCGCGCGTTTCTGAATGTGTCGATGTCATCGTGTTATATCACATTCCTTGGTGAGAGCAAGCTCATGTGTTATAAATGTATCACATTTTTAGACGTGTACCAAGCTGCACTAACGATCCGTAGGACGCTGAAACATGATGTCTGCAGATTGTACTATTAAAATGCTATAAGGCTTCCCCCAAACGAGGCGGTGACGCCACCCCTGATTTTGATACGTTCGCAAATTCGCAGGCAGCCACACTTGCGCGCATGAACTGTATACGCTTTCATGCGTTAATAAAGCGAACTCATGTAAATCCTGTTTTAATTAATTTGGGTTTTTTTTGAGACCGAATTGAAATTAAATGTGCTTGTTATAAATCAAACGCCGTTAATATTAGACATCTTGATTTCAAAATCAATTGAAATGATGCCTTATCCAGTCTATAATATAGTTTATGAATCAGCCATCACATGTCGTTGCGCTCTTCAAAATATGTGCGCTACATGTGTGGCTGATCCACTTGAATTTTAATAAACTGATCTTGAAAGATTTATTAGTAAATTCAATTTTACCTTTTTATTTTATTTACATTGCCACAAAATTTATTATATTTTCAATATACACGTTTTCTGTACCACATCAGTTTCTATTAAATATTCATAGCGATTTGATGTATTAAATCGTCTTGCTTATAAAATGTTCTACACCGGGTTAAAATATCTTCCAATATATTTCACGCATTCTGCAGGTGTTGTGTCGCATTTGTTACTTTTCATTTGCTTGCTAAAAGATCCTCTGAAATGTTTCAGGAATTCCGCAACTTATCTCATCGCGAATTTAGCTTTGTCTGACTTCATTACCTGTTCAGCTGGCTTGATACGAATGACTTGCAAACTCTCAACTACAATTTTCTATGTATGGAATACAGCTATGTTGGTGTCACTGTTATCTGTATTCTCAATCGCAATTGATCGCTACGCGTTGACAGTACATCCATTTAAACATCGTGTGCTTCTAAATGGAAGAAGAATCGCTATTTGGATTCTTTCGTTATGGCTTCTAAGTTCCTGGATGTTGGTAAAAGATCTTACATTTGGTACCAGCCAAATTGACAGTCAAATATACGACACAATATTTATTGTAATTTCTTTGGTAACTGGTTTGATATACGTATTAACATATCTTTCTTTGAGAAAGCAACGACGGGGCATATCTGAACAAAATCAGCTGTCGCAAAGTCGGCCCTTACAAGAGGAGTTTTTGAAAACGATTATAATTGTGGCGTTTATTCAAATTTTGACTATGGTTCCGTTAAGTATCTTTAGTTTGGTTCATGGCTGGTCGAAAAGTTTTAATTCAGTTTTAAAATTAGTCGTTTATCCAATGTACTTTTTAAACTTTGCAATAAATCCTTTCTTGTATGTCTGGAGACTTAGGAACTATCGACAAACATTTCGTTTGGTTTTTTGTACGAAATTGTGCTAGAGAAACTTGGCAGGGAAGCGTAAATATACTAATTTTATTAAAGTACTTATATTATGTCACAAACATTTTTTTGATTTTTGAGTAGAGAACAAAAATTATTATTATTATTTTACCTATTAATTTGCTGGAAATATCCATGGCTCAACGTTAGTGTTAAAAGAAAGAAAATATGTAAACAAATCGCGCCCATGCATAAGAAAAATCGACTTGACTATACCATTTCATGCAAGTGTAACTTTAGAGGAAATATTTCAAATCAACATTTAACGTGCATGACAATATCAAGTAGATGAAATAGTCAAATAGACTAAACATTTCAAGCCAAAAAGTACACGTAGTAGTTTAAAAACTATAGTATTTTGGAACAAAAACTATAGTTATGGAAACTATAATTATTAAAACTACAGTTATTAAAATAAAGGCTCGTGAGATTAGCTATGCTAAAATGGTTTTGTAATACCTTCTTTAAAGATGCTGTAAAGTCCGTTCTGCGCATATATTCTGCGCAGCAACACATTCCATCAGTGGGGAAGCAACCTTTGGCTGCCTCGTACCCAGGCGTCTCTTTGTAAAAAAACAGTGATGCGCATATGACGAGTTTACATGAAGTATTGTAGTGGGGAGAGATGGCGGAGGGGCTGATGGGAAGAGTGCACTTGAAATGCGAGACGCCTGGCAGTTCTTGGTCGATTTCTTGCAACTTTGTACGATTTCTTGCAAGTTGTGATATTTCGTTCTCGTTTACGATTTTTTGCCACTTGTTTTTGTTGAATTGACTAATGTTAATATTCTTCTGTCATCTGGGCGTGAATTCATGCTGTTATTCTTGGTATATATGACATATGCCTTATTTAAAGTCCATGGAAATTCCAATATTAACATGTGAACAACCGAAGCGTTGAAGAACTAGACTTGCAGGAACTATATTTGTAAGCTATAACTATATAAAGGTACAAACTATAAAATTGCACTGTTGTAATAAATATTTCAAACTTTACGGCTGTGAATTTAATTGGGCTTTTGTTGACAGTATACATTTAATAGAAATTGGCAATTTCCATTGGCATTGTGATCGACTGATCGAGCCTTCAGCTAAGGAAGTTATTAATACAAAAGCAATTATATGACTTTCTAATCATTTCTCTGTTACTGTTTTATACTGATAGCATTCTATTATTCTCCATGTAATACCGAATGACATATTCGAAATATTCGCACGGTTAACTTGCCATGTAATTTACTCATATTTCGCGCATTTTGTATGTCATCAAACTTCTACAAATGTATTATTATTTGCCAATGGCGTTCAATTCGACTCTTCGTCAGAAAATAAGGTTTTACACACATAAGGTTTTTCGCGCGTCGCCTGCCTACCTGAATACTTCATGTATTGTAATTATTTAAAGCGCCTGTGTACGAGGCAGAACCTTTGGAATGTTGTTAATATTTCGCACCTTCCGAACTTTCTTGAATTGAATATCTAGTCTGCATTCATTTACAAGCATAGTGAACCGGAAGAGTGTTAAAAATTCAGTATAATATATATCTAATCATATTTTACAACTGTAGCGCTGAGTTCAAAATGTAAACAAAGCGTTTGTTTACATTACGGACTTTACATCACCTTTAAATAAAGTCAATTATTATTATTATTATTATTATTATTATTATTATAGGGTCGCGCGGCCTTAAAATGCATCAGCGCAGTTGTCAAATGATACATGGCCTTAACGACGAGCTTTGTGCAGATCTTGAGGAGCAAATAACTACGGATAACAGCGAAAATATTTCATAAAATGAACACAATGGCAATGATATTAATACAGTTAATTACGAAAGTTTTCCTGAACTGAAGAAAGGCATAAATCTCCCGAAAAATGATTCTGAATGGTCAACGGCTAATGATTATTTTAAATATGCACTCCAGCCAAATGATCCAATCACATTTCAAGATCTAAATTCAAAAATCAAGCTTTTAAATGACGCGATATACAACTACTTTGCAAATAATTATGGACATACTGAAACTGTATCCGACAAAAATATGGTAGCTAAATATAAAGAGTATACGGTTAAAGAGTTAAAGAAAGCTTTACAAAATTTAAAATCTAAAAAGGGTGAACTCAGTGAAATTAAATACGTATCGCGCACATTGCGTGACAGGCTCCGTAACAATAGCAACGACGCCAATGACTTAAATGACAGTGAGTCTTTTAATCACAACAAATATCTGGAACGAAGCTTTAGGGGCTATGTTAAAAATATAATCAATAGAAAAGACGCAGTATTACCATCATTTAACATGACTGATTGCCTTTCTTATTTCTCTAAATCTCTGGCTAAAATTAATCCTAACAAGCTACTTGTAATTCCCAGCTGGATCCCCCGACCTATCAACAAATTACGAATGTTATACGCAAAATGAAATCGTCTGGTTCTCCTTGCCCTCTTGACCAACTTTCTATAATAAGTTTCAAGCATTGTCCTGATCTGAGAACTTACCTTACTGTGCTAATTCACGATATTTGGCTATCTGGAACTGTCCCAACTGAGTGGAAAAGAGCATGTACCATACTAATCCACAAGAAAGGCAACAATAATGACCCTTCAAATTTCCGCCCCATAACACTCGAATCCATACCTTTAAAAGTATTTACATCTTGTCTTCGAAACGCAGTATACTCCTTCCTCGCATCTAATAACTTCGTCGAACACAACATACAAAAAGGTTTCACCCCTAACCTATCCGGCACCCTAGAACATACTGCACAAATGGCTGACATTATTAATAAAGCTCGGATCAGACAACGCTCTGTTGTCATCACCCTACTTGATCTTAAGAATGCCTTCGGCGAAATCCATCACAACCTCATCCAATCCGTACTCGACTACCACCATATCCCTGATCATATAAAATTTGTTATAAAAAGTTTATATACTGATTTCCAAACCTCGATAATTACCTCTGAATTCCGCGTATTGCAAGGAGATTGCCTCAGTCCTCTTCTTTTTAACGTGTGCTTCAATACATTCATTCAGCATATCAAGGCTGAAAAGTACCGTCAATTTGGGTTTTCCTTCAAATTACTAAATCCCATCAACTGGTTCCAGTTTGCTGATGACGCGGCTGTAATTACTGGCCAAGAATCCGAAAACCAACATCTATTAAATCGATTTTCTATCTGGTGTCAATGGTCCGATATGATTATCCGAGTGACAAATGCAGTATCTTTGGCATTAAAAAAGCGATCACAAAATCAGTCCAGTACTTGCCAAAACTCCTCATCAGCAATCAACTAATACCAAAAATCACCATTGGAGAATCATTTCAATATTTAGGACGTTACTTTGATTTCCACATGTCGAATGATAATCATAAAACTGAACTAACAACCCTACTTAATGAACTAATGATATTGACTCAAAGCCACTACACCCCCAAAAATAAACTGCTCCTCTACAGTCGCTACGTCTTGTCCAAGTTAGCCTGGCACTTTACCGTCGCAACACTCCCTAAAACATGGGTTACTGAAAATATCGATTCTATTGCCAACAAATATATCCGCAGATGGCTTGAAGTACCAATATCAGGAACACTAGGTACTGTCTTTCTAACAAATAACAAATTTGGCCTGAGTATTTATCCTCCATCTGTAAAATTTATCCAGTGTCAAACAATCCTCCGAAAAGCTTTAAAATCTTCTCCTAATGAATCAACTAACGACCTGTGGAAAGCAACCAGTAACCATACTAATATCCAATATGACGCTTATAACTCTACTACGGAAGTTCCCAAAGATTTTCGTTCTGGACACGAAAACAAACTCCTGAACCAATTAACCAGTCAAGGATCCTTTTTCTCCAGCGTCACAAAGTTCGCTTTACCCCAGTTTAACAAGGTGTGGTCCATCGCCCAATCAAAGCTCCCGAAAAACATTTACAACTTTACCATTCGTTACATTAACAACTCTCTTCCGACGCGCAAAAACCTAAACAGATGGGCAATATCTTCAAATACAGACTGTTCTTTTTGTCTTAGCCCTGAAACATTACTACACATAGTAGCTGGATGTCAGTTTTATCTCGACCGATTTACGTGGAGACACAATTCAGTCCTGAACTTTCTTGCTCATCAGTTACAAACTGTTGACGGTTCTACTCTCTACGCTGATCTAAATGGATTCAAAAGCCCTTCAATACTTACTGGTGATACGTATCGCCCAGATTTGTTATTATCGTGCTCAAATGGTTCCTTATATGTGGTCGAACTCACCACTGGTTATGAGACAAACCTCAAGAACAACGTAAAACGGAAGAAGGATAAATATAGAGAATTATTGAGACAGCTAGGTAAAAATTTTAACCAAGTTAAATTTATAAATCTCTCTATCAGCTCTTTAGGTATTTTTGCAGAAGAATGTTCTACATTTTTAGACATGTTAGAAAGTATTGGTTTTGACAAAAACCACCAAATGTACTGCGTTGGGAAAATGATGACTATTGCTATTAGAACTACATATTACATTTTTTGCTGCCGAAATAAGGAATGGGAAAATCCGGATTTACTAACAATTTGACTTATTATACATTTAATATGTATTCTCGTTTCTAATTGGTCAGAAAGCACCGGCTAATTTTCAGTATTTGGCATTTATTACGTATTTTCCGCCGATGACGTCATCAGCGTCCAATAATTGTTTTTTTGGATCGAACTTGGAAAGCACTAATGGCCATACCGTGAGACACCATGCGCCCGCGATATTATCTAAGAATCAGCGGCTATTTTAACTAATTGATAATTAACATCGGTCTAAGTCATATTTTTGCGGGAAAGACAAATTGTAAATATGGCGGGTGATTACAAGCCGCATTTTGACGTTCAGATTACTCCGAATTGCGGTTATGTCTATTCGCGTGAGCAAGCTGAGCAAGTTGTGCGGGAATTCGAAACGCGAACAACAAGCAAGTACTCCTGTTATAAATCTAGGTCATCCTTCGGCAGAACAGGTACGTAATCATCAATAATTCATGCGATTATGAAAGTATAAAGCGATATTTACCGAAGCGTACCGCGTATAACGCTTCGAAATTTCGTCTACAGATTTATGTAAATCTAAACACCGAGTCCGTTGGGAAGATGGTAATAAAGACGCTTGTACTCGGATGGGATTTGATGGTGTTCCGTTTATAATACTGGACTCCAAGATTCTTGACTGCCAGCATGGTGTTGACCGGCACAATTATAGGAAAACGAAAGCACAAAGTGACGCGGTAAGTCAGTCTATACTGTCGCAAACACTGTTACATATCCAGCTATGATCCAGCCGGTTTCGTCAGCCGGTTTAAAGCTAAAAATATAAGATCATGGCCGTCGTGGTAACTGCTAAATAGGAGGAGGGGGGGGGGCGAAATCCAAAATTTCCCGACCTCTCCCCCCCCCCGTCGGCCGAAAAAAAATTCCGACGGACGTGCGTAAAGCCGGTTTTCCACTAGGCGGAATTTTGCGCGCGGAGCGGAAATTATCTTTGTCTTTTCTAATTAGTTCCACCCGAGAAATCACAAGACAAAGAAAAATTCCGCTCCGCGCGCAAAATTCCGCCTAGTGGAAAACCGGCTTAATTTTGCTAAAACTGCTTCGAGAACCGCTACATTTCAAAAAATTTCCGACAAACGTCTAACATTTCAAAAAATTCCGACAAATCTCAAATTGTGGGGGGGGGGGGGCATTGGTTTAAATAATATTAAATTATAAAAAAGGGCAATTTTTCCATATAATGTTATATTGATTAAGTACAACTGATACGCAGAACAAACTTTAATTAAGTGGGGTTTTTTTCCATTTTATACATAGGTCATAGCTCTTTTGTCGACGGTTTTTTTAGCTTGTTACACATAATTCATTATTTCAGTTTTTTACCTTTGGTAGCATCGTGACCATGATTTCAAGAAACGAAGATTCCGCGTCCAAGGGACAAAAAAGTTTGGCTGCGAAGCAAAAATAAATATGCGCGAGGTGATCAAGTTCCCACAGTTTGCCATTCCGGTATGTGTGATTGCATTGCTGAGTATTGAAGATCCAGGACATATAGCCTTTATAGGTGAATATTTGAAAAGCTCTAAACGGAATTACGTTTTCCACAGATCTACGTAAATTTATTTTTAGATTGAAATTGACTCCAGAAAAAGACGAGATGTAGCCGCAGCGAAATTGAAGGAAGCGCTCCAAGAAAATGCCAATCTGGGAGAACGGAGGATTTATATGTATTTGCCTACTCCTGCGGACCATACAACCCATTTGAATGGCGAGGTAAATGTGAGATTCATATTTGTTTCCGGTATTCCCTGTGAGCTTCGTTCGGTAACTCTTTTGGTAATATTGAACAGAAATTAATGTAGTTCTCTCTGATATTATTTTAATTTCCCGCTTGTGAGTGTGATTGCATGATATTTTTATGCATGTAATAGCTACAGCTATTTCAATTAAGGTTGTCAGAGACAATGGCCAAATGTACAATATGAGCGCGAAAGAATGATGGGAATATCATTATCTTTACTTGTTTGTTATGCATAAACATGTTGAAGACAATGTTATTCCCATCATTCTTTCCGCTCATATTGTACATTTGACCATTGTCTAAGACAAACCTTAATTGAAATAGCTGTATACAAAAAGAGGAACAGAAGTTTAAAGAAATTGTACAATGTATATGTTGTTTTTAAGGCAACCGGAATATCTCAACCAGTGGACGAAAGAATAGTGAAAAAAATTCGTATTTTGGTTGGTGAAGGTGTGAATAATGTGAGGGAAATGGGCAGGCACATTCGCCAGTATGTTAAAAATGAACTATTCCTTGGACAAGAACTTCCACCATGTACAAACAGAAGATTCCACCCGAAGCAGGTTGACATTAGAAACCATATGTATTTGGCAACAATAGAAAGCCGTTTTTCTAAATTTGATCAGGAAAACGTGTCTGCCAAAACTGGTGATTGGGAAAAGAAGTATGCCGAAGATAACTTCTTCTACAGGCCTTACCAAGAGGGATGCATCACAGTAAGAACAACCAGTGCGGCTGAAGACAAGAAAGAAAAGAACGTCAACGATAAATCGGAGAACGTAAACGACGACAACGCGAAGAGAGAAAACGAAGATGAAGCGAAGGAAGGAAACGACGATCAAGCGAAGGAAGAGGATGACATGGCCATTGGACTTCAGGAACATGTCAATCTTGAAAAATCGTTGTTATTTGTTCATCAGTCTGCGTGGCAGAGACGGTTGCTTTTGAAATATGGGAACGATCTTTGTCTTTTGGATGCAACCTACAAAACAACAAGGTTTGCAGTCCCACTTTTTTTCCTCGTTGTCAAAACAAATGTCGACTACCAGGTTGTTGGTTCGTTTGTAACCCAAGGAGAGTCAAAAGAGTGCGTTATGGAAGGACTGAAGGTGCTTTCAAGCTGGAACCCTGGTTGGAAACCAGCTTGCTTCATGACGGATTTCTGCGAGGCAGAAATTAATGCTATTGAAGAAGTTTTCCCAGGTATTGTTAAATTATTTGTGTTTTATGTATTGTCATGCACACGTCTGTATTTGTCACAGTATGTATATACTGTGACATCTCATATATGTATATTCATATACCTATAATCTATGACTATAGTACAATACCAGCAAAGAAAAAGAAAAATGAAACAAAACCAAAAAGTTTTCTCAGTTTCGGAAAGTTGTTGACAAACACAATTAATTGTAACAATAATATTATTTTTTAGAATTATAATTTATTATTGAGTATGTTATAGTTTTCCAATGACTGATTATTGAGACTGGTTATGATCGTTTCCATGAGGTGTCCGTACTTTTTCTTTTCTTGCATTTAATCCTCGCAAACCGTAATGTGCCAGAAAAATAGATACATCATAACTCGCAATAGCAAATATCAAACAGGATGTACAAATTTATATTCTTTCTCATGTAGATTGCACTGTTTACCTTTGCGATTTTCATCGAGAGCAAGCCTGGGAAAGATGGGTTAGCAAGTCCGCCAATGATGTGTCCGGTCACAAGGAAACTGTACTGACAGCACTGAGGAAGGTTGCGCATGCAGGATCAGAGGAATCGTACAATTCTGCTATAAACGATCTGAAACAATTAGAGGTGAAACGTTAAAGCAATATGATTACACACTGTAGCATAAGCTAGATAACACAATATTCATTGCATGGCATCCGCATTTCGGCACGAATTTGCGATATAGCCATGTCCAATAACGGTTTCTATATTACGTTTTAAAAAACAACCAGGAAGTCGTAAAAAAACATTATACATTATTTTTGAATTGTGCAGATATGGAAGACTAATAGCAAACTACAAAGATGGTTCACAAGAACTTGGCTGCCAGAATGCAAGGTACTCGTTCGTATTCCTTAATAATACTTGTATATACATAGAATTTATATAAGTATAAATTACCATTTGAACGGCCTAGATTGACAATATTGTGATTCACTACCATCATGCCAGGCAAAGCTGTATAGATGAATTACTCAAATACTGTACATGCAAGGAATTAAATATTTTGTGCAATTATAGTGTATACAGTGTGTTAGCCAAAAGTAAAAAAAAAATTCGCGTTTACCTGAAATTGGGGAAGAGTAATTGAATATTTCAAATTAAATAGAACTATTTTTTGGCTGACCTAAATTGGAAATTGCGAACTCAAGGTAATTGAGAAAACCGCGTTTTGCGCGAAATTTTATACTGTACACCCTGGTATATATATATATATATATATTACGTTTCGTATCCTTCATTGTATATTTTGACAGCGTTGGGTATGGCTCTACCGCAAAGCAGATGCGAGTGTCTTTTTCCATACGAACAATGGCGTAGAAAGACAAAACAAGGACTTCAAGAGTACCTTCCTATCTGTTCATCGCGATAAAACACTCAGTGGCATGCTCACGTCCCTTGTAGAAGAGTTCCTCCCAGACAAATACAGAAGGTACAGTACAGTACATGAAACATCCAGACATAAAATCAGTCCCCATGCAGTAGATGCGATATTTTACACAGCGAGTAACAATTTTTTATGCACTGTCTCAATACCATTTGTAGGTATGTAGAAAAAAATGTTCGCTGCCATGAAAGCTACAGACGGTACAATTCTACGATGCCTGAATATTTGCGGAATCGGCCAAGAAATTTTATTAAGCATTGTATGTCAAATATAACAGAGGCGGAAGAAATTCCTGCTTCGTCAGTTGTTTGTGTCAACCAAGACATGGGAGTTTTCACAGTACAAGGGAGCAAAAGCACGTGTCAGTATACGGTTAATTTTGGGCCCACGATTGGAGTTACGCCAAGTTGCGAATGTCTGTCTTGGATGAAGTCAAGATTGCTGTGCAAGCACTTCTTTGCCGTTTTCAGACATTTCCCCAACTGGGGATTTGACAAGCTGTCACGTGCCTATACAAAACAACCACATATAACCCTAGACGAGGAGGTTATATCAATTTCTACTGGTAACAATAGAACAACTAACGACGGTTCACCATCACCTATGGAAGATTATGGCAATTCCATACCTACATCCAAGTGCACCGATCAAGAAGATATCGATTCAACTTCTACTCAAACAGCACCCGCACAGAACCCAACGCAAAGTCTGCGATCAACAGAATTACATCACATCCGTTTAAATGCCATCGCACGGCAATGTAGAGAAACTTTGCATTGTGCAAAAAACTTGACATATCTCATTCAAGATCCAGAGATTCTTCAAGAGTTCAGCACATCTTTGACAGAGGTGGTATCAGCCATTAAAGTAAAAATTCCAGCTGATGGTGGACTACTCCTTGAAAAACAGCAAAGTACCTTCAAGAAAAAAAGGTTGGCTAAGCTAAGTTTGAAAAAGAAAAGGGACAACAACTCCACTCACCTTCCCAACCTACCCAAACAACAAAAAAGGACCCACCCTTATTCTAGTCGTGTAGGATCAAAAGCAGAAATGATGAAAAAAATGTACCAGGTAATGTGTTGCACTGCATGGTTGGTATAAAAAGATATAACGAGGAGCAGTATAAAATATATTTGCATACGTTTTGGTATTATGTGTAGAACTACAAGTACTAGAGCATTTTTTAGAGATTTCAGTCGAGGTTTTCGTTACTTGTCTGTCTCAGTTGAAATGTTAGAGTTATGACGCCTGTCACTGAATTGTCGAAACATTCAATATATTGCATCCGCCTGCCTTTTTAGTGCTATCTCCCCATTTAATTCACTTTATGTTTTAGCCACAAGTTTACAATTCTAATCAGTTTTCAATCAACTTATGATACCAATTATGACTTAGAAATATTCCCTGCTTCTCATGTGCCCCATATTATATAATCATTTCATCCCTCTGGCGGGCCGTCTGACCATGTAAATGTCTTGCAGTATAGATAATCAAACGAAATTAAGGCGCTGTTACACTATGCAACTTGTCTCCCAATTTTGTTGCAGCAAAAATGTTGCGAGACTTGATGATTGCGATGTATGTTACACCTTGCAATTTTTTGTAATGTATATGTTAACCTTGCAATTGCGACACAAGTTGCAAGACAAGTTGCATAGTGTAACAGCGCCTTTAGGTTATAATTTTTTATTAAACTCAATCATTCTTTGTTTACTTACATGCATGTAGGTAAATGTAGAAGTAAAAAAGGACGCTGCTATGGACTCGAAGTCTCCTTTAAAGAGAAAAGAATATCCTAGTGTCACAAAGGAGACAAAGTGCAAGAAAAAACGCCCATCCGAGAGCACCAAGGTAGTTTTTTATGGACGTTCGTTTTTACAAAAACTATTTTAATGTGGTACCATTTCAGTTAACTGTTCCACTGAATTAAGGCAATAATTCGAAATGGCGATGTAATGTCAGACAATGTAACTCATAAACACAGAGTGCTCTTGTGGCCCTTAATCAAACATACACACACTGTATGCGCTTCTATTTCACTTCAGGCACTTCCAAAAAGCAGCCTTCCTGAAGTAAATGTAAACCCGAAACTTGTGAATGAAACGTGAGTATAAATATTGTCAGGAAATACAACTCACAACAAAATTAGTAAACTGCAGCCAGGTTGCAATACTTACCAAAAAAAACTTAATACACTTACTTTAACTTTCAGAAAACCTTTTGACTGGATTTTACAAGCCAGAGCGTTACACAACCTTCAAAAGAACATGCTCAGCTATGGACCAGCGCAAGTGACATTAGGAAATCTCCTCACACTTGTGCCCCCAAATCGCCTGAAAAAGAGAGATGTCTATGAGATAAAAAAACAACTGCCTAAATTTGTTCCCGGATGGTTGAGTGATATGGTATTGTACAGTATATTCGATTTCTGGCAGACAGAATTTCTATTGAAAGGGGAAAATTCACAGCATTATTATGTTTAGTTAGTTATACGTATAACATTCTCAATACATACCCTTACATTACATACTCAAGCTACTCAATGTATTCATTACAATTATTTTGTCTTCTCTGTAATGTTTCAGGTAATAGAAGCTGAACTTCATAGAATAGAAAAAGCTAATCCAGATTGCCTCTCAGCAAATACAAGTGTTGAACAACTTGCGTTGCGTGAAATGCAGAACACAAGAAGACTTTGGCAGGATGTTGATTTCACAAAAATCAACAAGGTCATTGTGCCCATGAATCCTTCAAACTGTCACTGGAACCTCTTGGTAAATAACACTTAAATAAACATAAATTAAATTTATAATTTTGGCACATTATCAACCCTGCTATTTAAATGTCTATTGCAGTATCACCATCAGGTTTAATTATCTAGTTGGGTTTTTCAGTGACAGGCATTACTTCCTTTTTCCCTTTTAAATCATCACTGGACATTTCCATGCAACTTGGCCTAAAATTGCAGTAATTTGTACAATTTTAATACATTTAGGTGTTAGATAAGTCAACCAAAACAAGAAAGTTTCTTGATCCGATGAATGGACAGAAAGAAGAAGTTCTCACTGATGTGCCCAAATATGCTTGGCTAAAGCATTTGATTGACAAAATATGGTTAGTTATCTATGTTCACCTATAAATATTGTGTACCGGTACAGTAGTAGTTTAGTACACACATATTGCTGTGGTTTTTCTTTTTGATATTCCTGCATCAATATCTTTCAATTTAGCAACCTTGTTGATAAGAAGACTGGCTGGGACACAGCAACATGGCCATGTATTGAACCACAACACTACTCACAAAAAGATGGGTATAACTGTGGGATAATGGTTTGTGTGGTAAGGCTTTAAGGCTTTAATTTGGGTACTTCCTTTTCATCTTAATCATACTTAGGCTAGCTGAGTAAAACTTGTCCAAACTCTGGCTAACAGAAATCAGTAAAAACTTAGTCGAGTTCCAGTAAAATGTTGCATTCTGTATGGGTGTATGTTAATCGCTAGCTAATAATCTAATACTCTAATTGCAGATTGATAGTCACTTTTTATTTGCAACCTAAACAGGGCTGCAGGAGTAGGCCGGGAGGGCCCGGGTCTGGTCCAATAATTTGCTCAGGATCAAATGAGATACTAATTTCAAACATTTTGGGGGGCATGCCCCTGGACTCCACTAGCAGTGCCATGTCACTACCAGCCCCCCAATTGACTTTGTCTTGCTACGGTCCTGCTAAATCAAGTGATCCTCTGCGAAGTGTCTACCACTAGCAGCTACAATTGTCTTGTTCAATCCAATTACTTCATATATTTATAGTTTGCTGTCCGACTAATTGAGGGAAAAGAGCTGATGAAACCAATCAACTGCACCCATGAGAGACAGATGATTGCATCAGAATTATTAAAGCATTCTAATACTGTTTGCAATTCTGAGGTGAAGTTATAACCATGTACTTCAACCATGTACTGATGTACTGCTGCAGTATGTGTGTATATGTGAAAATAGAGAAAATAGTAAAGAAACACATTTTCATCATTATTAACAAATAATATAAACAATTTCCTTTTTATATTTAGGGTTGAATTCTGAAATTTATGAAACAAAGAAATTTAACAATATTATAAACAACTTCTTTTTTATATTTAGAGTTGAATTCTGAGCAGTTTATGAAACAAAGAAATTTATGAGAGCAGAAATGCAGTTGAGATTCTATCATGATGGTATACTCGAGCTGTAAATAGTTTTTCTTTTAATGAAAGTACAGTATATAATATTGATAACTATGAAATATGTAAATAATGAAATACTCTATAATCATTGAAGACTTATAATTGTACCATCACTCATCATGCATCCCTCTGGGTACAACCCCAGTACTACATAACAAGGAAAACAAGGGATATACAGTGTATATGGCAGTTTTCCTCTAATTGGGAACTACTATTTTGTCATTATTAACCGATTCACACACAACTTACTGTGCCCCCATTCTACTTCAGCATTTGCTTGCCTGAGCATTTTAGCCAGTGCATTTTACTTGTCAAGTGAAATATCCTGGACATTAATGGGTTAATGATTTTTGCAATTGTCTGTCAATTGGCATGCACCCCCCATGCACCATAATTTCACATTTACTCTGTCTACTAGATGATTTTTGCATCAAGAGAAAGGTTATTTTAGTGCATTATTTCAGTGTCCTGGCATAGTCTGAGGGTCAGGGGAAGCACTATGTCAGTTCTACTGCTATAAAGCAATTTCTTTAATTCCATGTGTGGAATAAAATTTGTGGCTTGGCATGATCACATTTTAGTACATAGAATGCACCCCTGGCTGAAGATTAGGTGCATTGAAAAATATATACAGTACTGCGAAATTTGAATACACCATGCACAAAGTTAAAAAATTAAAGCCACATAAAGTGACAATTATAGAACTGCTATTAAAAGAAATGGGATATATAAAATATTCTGTATATAAAAAGGCAGAAGATTTTGTATACGACTATTGTCTATTAAAGTACTGTATATCAGGTAATTTTTATTCCATTAATATTAGTTGACTTGACTTACCTTGGGTTTCTTCTTGATTCAGGCTATATTTTTATATCATTTCTCAGATAAATAAAGTGATAAATCTCTATAACTCAACTCATGATAATAACTCATTGTCTCTCACGCATATGAATAGAAAAAGCACTATTTTTAACCGCTGACAATAATAGATTGTCGCGGGCGCAAGGTGACTCACAGTATGGCCATTAGTGCTTTCCCTTTATCGATGACCAAAGTGCACTGAGGGAAAAATTTGCCGAAAATGTAGACCTGCAGGTTGTTCGGAATGTTTGAGATTTTTGCAGAAATGAATGTGTTGGTTAGAAATGTGGTTGTGCCATAATGTTTCTGGACTCTAGATAGTTTTTGCTATTTAAAATTATGTGTAATAGCAGCCCCATGCCAATTGAGAAATCTAACAGCAACACTGCAAATGACTTATTTGGTAATGAAATATTGACAGTTGCATAGAGATTGATCGAACTATGTTTTATCCAAGTTAACAGTTCTGCATGGCTGTGAGGATTGGATCTCTTCAATTGGAGCTATAGCTAGCTATGCTGGTGACGTGTTGCCCTGGGGTCTGAAGTCTGCCATCAGTGATGGAAATGTCCGACAGGACTGCATGCTGCCAGAACATTTTGACATAATACTGTATCTACGCAGGAAATTTATGTCATCCGATGTAGTGAAATGCCATATAATTTACTTATTGTTTAGAAAAAAGCATTTTGCAAGTTGAGATTGTACCCTTTGCCTTGATTAAAGTAATGTTGGAAATGTCTGGCAGTGCCAGCAGCAGGGAGCCGGTTGCCAGAGCATTTTAACACAATATCTAGTATGCAGGAAAATTTTCTTTTATTTTACAAGAAAATTTTGTCATCTTATATATACTGGTTTACCATATAATCTACTTATTGTTTAAAAATTCCCAAGCATTTTACAAGTTGAGATTGTCTTGCACCGGGATTGAGGTCTATCGCAGTGTGCGGACCATACTTTTTTAAATCTACATGTACATATGCGGGAAGTTTAAATTTGACTTACACATGCAGGCCTGTCTGCTATGCTGAGCAAAACCAATATTGACAAGAATAGGTATTGAAAGAAGCTCAGGACTGATGAGTGTGTAGCTCTGGGGCAGATCTTCTCCTGATGGTTAACCCTAGCCTCAAACTTAATGCATGGAAACTTGCAACATGCATGTGAGTAAAAATTTAGCCTTTGCTAGTAAAAAAACTATTTCACCAGCAGTCGTTTGCGGATATGGACTTTAGTTTTATGTGGGTAAATGCATGGCTTAAATTTGCAGTTTTCAGCCAGGTATAAATGCAATAAGGCCATAAATGCAAGATTGAATAATTGATATTTAAGATGGATAAGGCCCAGGGGTGGACCGCAGGACCATTCGTCCCAAAAAATATTTTAGTTGGCACAAAATATTTCCTCATGAAAGAAAAAAAGATAATTGTAAAATTTGGAAAGAAGGAAAATTGAGGAAACATTCTAACCAATAGAAACCTAACCTGTGCTGTATTGTAGGTATAATTTCAGGAATGCAAATACAAGTACATCCATTTTAATAGTGCAGTCAGGGCTGTATAGCCAGTCCCTTGACGAGTCGCAGCATCTACTGTAATTCTCCGGCCTGTCCAGCATGGTCCCCCAGAAAATATTTCTATGTTAGACTCGTTTTGTGATAATCTGAAAGCCACAATTATTGTGGGATATTTTATGTCATAGATGAAAAATTATATAGGTGTTTACGCCCCTGGTTTCTTCTCAATTTTGAAAGAATTACAAAATTTGTCCTGAAGTAAACATCCCCATTCCTCCTGTGGGTATGCCTCTGAGTACAATAGTGTATAAATGTATAGACTATAGAATGATGTAACAAATGTTGTGATGGCAAATGCATTTTTAGCCAGACACCTGATGGGAAGCATGCCCGCAGATCCCCTTAATGCTGCCCTTTTTTTTGCATCTATAATTTTACCTTAGGATCAGACTGTCGATGCAAGTCATTTAAAGTAGTTTTATGTTATTCCTAAAAGTACTTATAAGATTTTTTTTCTGTGAACATATTCTGGAGTATGACATTCAGTTTGACAACTTGTTGGTGTTACACAGTTACACCATCGATTTAGTTAATTTTTTAAAAATCTTTCAATGTTCTCTTGCGGTCCCAGAAAGCAAAATATTTTTTCCAGTTCTGGTAAGGCCCATTATTTTACAACCTTGAAAATATGATATTCCACCGTCAACCTGGTTTTGAAAGTGGTGTTACTGCAGAGACGACGATTTCAGAAAGCCACCTTGCATATTATTTTTTTTTAATATACACACAAGAAATGATTGTACCCCATGTAACTATTTCGAGCGGCGAAGACGCGAGCCATCTGGGGGTGTCCCGGGGCTTCCTCCCCTGGAAAAATGTATAAATGCATTGCTTGCAAAGCATGTGTAAAGACATTTATGCGAGTAGTATGATTTTCGTAGTCGATTTCGAGTTTTTAGCTCAAACATTAAGAAAATGGGCAAATTTAAGCCAATAGCTACAATTTTACCACCTTTAAAGATCTTTAACTCAAAACCAGCTTGGAAATTTTGCAGTTTTAATCCAACAGAGTAATTTAGTCGGTCCTGCTAAACACCGACCGGGACCGACCATGACCGACGGGGGCCGACCGGGGCCGACCATGAAAGCAAATGATCATCTGTGATTGTAATTACCCCCTGGAAACTTTGTATTAACTTTATACTGTTACGTTTTTAACGGTAGACGATCTTGTCAAGCGAGAAAGATTGTCTGTCTTCAGCCACAACTAGTGACATGTCTTACCGTTACTTACGCTTGGCATGAAATGAAACTGCACATTGTCGTACTAGCGGTATAGGTTTCATAAGACACAGACATACTTTTATTTTTCGGTAGAAATATTCCATGCACCTTGTCCTTGTGCGAAAAGAGTTTGCTTGTTTACATGTAACTATCACACATACATCAATTCAAGTATTGACTATTGTACTTTAAACTGAAAAGTGAAAGCTTGCAATGAAACTGGCTTTTTTCAGTTTTTTTGTTTCCAGACTGGACCTTTATTTTACATGTTTATAAGTATAACGTATTAACGGCGAAAACCGTTTCATATATGCGCCGGAAACGTTTAGTTCTAGTATACATTTTATTCAAGAATTGCCATGACATGCCAAGAATTGTCGTGTGTATGCACATGCAATACTTATACTAAATATTGATTCATCTTATTTTAGAATACCAGCAAATTGACCATTCCCAGCGATGTTGATGAGGAGCTACATGATAGATCGACCGATGAAATGAATGGCAAAGATTCCACATACACGTCCACTCAAAGTCCTTATACAGATGCTCACCTAAAGGTAAATTCCCCAGTACGTTTCCCGTACTCAATTGCAAGCATGAGACTAACGAACGTAACTTTTTCCCAGGATACGCCTAAGGCACAAGCTGCGTCACGTGGTGAACGAAAACGTGATGATGCCGAACTTGGAGAAGCGACCATGACCAATAATTCGTGCAGTTGGCTTTCTCAAAACAATGATACAGACCTCGCTCAGGTATAAAAGTACAATCAGCTTTTTGACAATCTTGTGACGATGTGAGGTTAAATAAAATGACACTTTGGGTGTACTTATAAATTTCGTGCTGCCTACGCAAATTAATACATCAAAAACTGGATACTAATAGCTAGTGTTTTGCAAAATTGAGAGCAAATTCATATCTGTTCAGTTTTTCTTTTATGCACCCTGTATATCTGGCAGTTTTTAACAGAAACTTGAAGGTCTTTTCTAAATCACATAGGTTTTGTTTTTTTCCTTTTTCTATGTTTTTGGTATTCCTGTATCTTTTTCGAGTTTTTGCTCGAACTATAGATAAAATTGCTTTGTCTCTTCGATCTATTCCTTCTTGTTTTCTGCTGAACTTTGTACTTTAAAAGCTCTATAATTTTGTTTATATTTTTGGTAATAAAAAGCAGAGATTAACCGGGGGTGGAAAACACAGAAAGAGCAAGGCAGTGCCACAGACTACAGTGTATTATTGCGTTATAATGCACGCGGATTAGCCAATCAAATTGCATGTAACATCCCACTTACATCATAAAGGAAGATCATACGTAAGGTACCACGCCTACACTTAATTATTTCTAATTATTAACCCGTTCAAGGAAGAACACGTCAAAATCAATGCGTAGGTATTGTTACTACATATTTGGCCTTGACTGATAAAACCTATGTTACACTTCAATTGAATTCATGCACAAAACTAGATGCTGTGCTTTTATTCATTTAGTTATTTCATAAGAAATTTTCACAGGGATTAAAATTTCCGTGGAAAGCAACTTTACATTTCTTTTCCGGCAGCTGGAAGTGATTGGACTCAGACCACAATCGTTCAACATGATTGTCTTTCACCATATTATATCACCATAAATATTAAATTATAGTTAAAACAAGTTTCCTTATCTCTACTTCAACGTGTATTTGCCATTTCGCTGTAGTATCGATCAGAATTCAGACACATATCAAATGACAGTTTAGACATACTGTAGTACAAAATTTGTGATTCCTCTGCAAATAATATAGCGAGAATGGCAAACGCATTTTAGAACATAGCACAACAGAAATACATAATGTAACGTCTATGTTTGGTAACTTGGGTCTTAGTTGATTATTAGCGCAAACGGTAAGCTTGGAAAATCATGATTTTCGCCAAAACAAACAGTATCGACAGTATTTATCAATGTAAATTCCATTGCAATTTAATACCATGTTTATTATTGTTGCGCAAAGAGCAACCTCATTTTAAGTATTAGCTCAAACTGCACAGGCAAACTGCAAACCTCAAAAATCAATATTTTCGAAAAAACTAACCATGAATCTACCGCGACAACCAATAAAATTTTACACAATTTTATTTTAAATACATATTGCGACGATGACAACAACGACTAAGGATTATATAATCGAACTACACCCTCAACCACTACTAAATTCTAGATACATGGTGATATTTATAATACATTTTAAAGGAAAAAATAGCTAAATGCTGACGTTAAAGGAAGATCATACTTAATTCTCAAATTGTAATTCCTCACATCTACAGGCTGGTCACGAGATATTTTTCACATGTATGTCGGTGCGTGTAGGAACGGAAAAGTTCAAACTAATTTATACATCAACGAATACAATTCAATTCAATTCATGTACAAAACTAGATGCTGTTCTTTCGTTCATTTAGTTATTTCATAGTTCCCGCAGACTGTTTCATTGTTTTGGACGAATTTATCATTGTGTCTGCGCTACTTTCAAAATGCGAACTCCAAAATGGCCGCCGCTACAGTGAGAAGTATCAGCCTGTATTGAGGTCAACCAACAATGACTCAACGAGTAAGTCGCTAAAATATGCAAACGTAAGTTTAACTCACCGTTCAGAACATGCGGAATGATCTACTCCATTTCTACAAAGAAAACATTTGCTTTACACAGCGTGTAGACTATTAGTATTGCCTTGAACATAAAAGAACTTCGAGGTTCTCTTTATTTCTCAGTTTTCTGCGACAAAGCAACTTGATTTAACGACGCACTTCCGTACTGGCGAATAAACAGCTCTAGTAAACGCGACGCAACGTCAATCAGGGTCAGTGATCGGGGAATGAATATTACGTCATACGCTTAGTTTACTTCCGTTTTAAATCTATTTTTTTCGAAGCAAATTTCTTGTTTTTTATTCGCCGCTTGCATATTTCATTATCGTTTTTAATTATTTGTCCAGGTAATGTTCAAGAAAATGCTTTATTATGGTGAATATCAAGATTTTGTTGGCATCTCACTCGATTGAATAATAGTAGAATGGTATTGTAGATGGAAATTATCCAGTGGAAATTTATATACATTTATTAGACCTTAATCAAGAATAGATGCGAAAAATACAACTTTATAAATTTCCACTTGATAATTTCCATCTACAATACCGTTCTAATAAAATACAATACAATGGAAACTGTATTGTATTTTATTAGAATACTCAGTGGTTACCGAAAATATTAATATCGTTCTATTCATTCAATCGAGTGAGATGCCAACAAATGTTGATATTTACACATAACTGAACATGGCGGTACCCTAGTATATATACATGAACTTGTGGTTAGAGCTCGACTACTGGCCTACTGTAGCTCAGTTGGTTAGAGCGCTGCACCGAAATCCGCAGGGCCGCAAGTTCGATTCCTGCCAGGAATTTTGGGGAAAACTAAGGAATGTTCGGAGCTTTTTGCAAGGAATTCGCAAGTTTGGTACAAAACCTTTCATTGAAATGAGAACAAATTTTGAAATAAATTTAAAATTTCAGGTTTAAAACATGGCAAATGATGAACTAAAGATTGATTTTTAAAAACTGAAAGGAAATGCACGCACTTTTTCAAACGGTGAAGCGACAATTATTGATTTTGACACGAAAGAACCAAGCAAGGCAAGCATAAAAGTTGAACTTTATTAGGCCATGGGAATGAAAGTCATAGAATACCGTCCGAAGATTTTTGAAAATTAATGCGGGTTAATTTCATTATTCATTATTCATTATTTGGATAATTATTTTTTAATGGTGAAAAAACAAGAGAAATTTTTACAAAAAATATTTTGTACAAATTTAGTGTTAAAGCCATTTAACTAATATGAACAGTGCCACCAAATGCATTTAATATTGTCATAAACAATATGTATGGCATAAAGACAAAAACAAATATCTATAAATATTATAAGTCCTCGTTTATATTAACATCAGGTTCACAACCACTTCATTTTTTGTTTGAATAACCTGTCACTTTCGTTTCCTGACAGGATCTTGTGTACAATTTCCGCACTGGGGATAAATCTCATCATCTTCATCCACATCATCAACATATTCCCCACAATAGATGCAGCATGGTTCATAGTCACAAGCATAGTACAGCTTTTCTATGTTATCTTCGCAGTCATGGTCTTTAATGTGGACTTGAAGCCCATGAGGAAGAAGTATATCATCTAAAACGATAGGAATAGTATATATGTACAGTTATATTGTCTCTGATTGACCAATCACATTACAGCCCCCCAAAATTTGGGGGGCATAAATTTGTATTAATAATGCATAAATTTAACACAAAGGTAATAAATTAAATATGGCTAAAGCGCATTGCTGAAGCGTTCGAGGTCGGCGTTGTGCAAATATGTGCACTTAAAAAGATCTGTTCAACGATATTTATACGTGAACTACATGGGTTAAAGCGATATTTTTTGGGGAAGAGTAATTCCGACGATTTTTACGACACGAACCGAAGTCTCTCTACGAATAATAGTCGCTGGAATGTTTTCGTCTTTTCGAATCCGTTGCATATTTTTATATTGTGTTTATAAATAATATATCTCATTGAGGATTCTTGGTCATGAAAGGGCAAAGAATATTTTGCGTGTGGCTGAGCAAAATTAATAACCTTTCTTTTTTTAGCTTAGTTAGCTAGGTGGCCTAGTCCTTTGAAACGCTCCCTGTTTCTGCTGATTCATAATTATATTTACAATAAAACCTGGATGTGTTTATTATTGGGCTGGTCTGACATATTGCCAGGAAAGTAGAAAATGTTATTTTGCAAAGTCTTGTGACATATAGTATATTAGTATGTAGGATATTGCAGTATTTAAAAGGCTTATTTTAATTAATATTAAGACATGTTTATATGATCCTGTCAGGTGGGAAAGTGGGAAACCTTGCCAGGCAGCTAGGATGTCATGTTTATACATGATCACATGTTCGTGAGTGAGTTCATCAAATATATACATGTATTTTTGAACACGAGTTGATATGATAGTCAAGATCTTGGAAACTGCCTCATCCTGCCTGGCTGGAATTTTATAAACAGTCCCTTTCATGGAGACCATGGCTAGGTAATAATAGGCTTGCATGGTTAGATCTCCCACAAGCTAGTTTGGGCCATTTGACAATATTTTTTGGACTGGGCAGGTAATTTGTGAACTGAAACTGATATATCAGTGTGCTCATATATGCTAATTGCTAATTACAGGCAAGCACAATAAATTCAATATTATTTTATATATTGACAATATGATTTACCATGAATACTAATTGACTAAATGTGGGCACATAGTTATTAGAAGGGCAATAAATAAATCCAATTGGTATCATGTGTTTCTTTGTTGTGAAGGGGTAAAGAATGGGACTTGTTGGATAGCCTAAGTACAGGATTTATAGAATAAAAGTATGCAATGTTTTATAAATTCAGACATCAGTGAAATATGCATTTAGTCTGTTCAACAAGCTCAAATATGTTTGCTCTCAGGCTGAGTTTTGGAAACCTTGTCAGTATGGTATTAAGAAAAGGATAGTTGTCATGTCAATGTGTGTTTTAACGGCTGTTCGTATGAAAGCCAGACTGAGAATGACAAAGCATGATAAATTGCTAGTTCTGAAAGATTGAATATTTATTTAAGCTAATAAACAAGGGTTCAAAAAAATTGTTGCAGTAACACTTTAGTTAGAAAATATCAAAATGTTAAACACCAAAATTATCCTGGCATGGGGGATTAAGTATTCATGGGGGAAAAGAAGGCAAATTCTTCTTGCATTCCTGCAGAGATGTATTCAGGGATGGATTTACTGGGGGGGGCACCCCCTTGCCCTGGCCAGGGGGGGGGGGTGCTATATTTTTCATGATAAAGCAAAAAATTATTAGAGACAAAATGACATACAGTAATTTGAGTAATAACATGATGATATGTGAAATGTGAACAACAATTACAATTGAAATACAGTAGTCAAGCAGGACTTTGCAGAAGTGAAGCAAGTTGATGGGCAGGTGGCACACATGACCGACACAACTCGGCACCAGAGCTGGCAGAGCACCCCCCTACCAGACCATGCTGGATCCATCCCTGGATGTATTTACTGCCATGGGGATGCACCCCCCATAACATTGGCAAAGGGGGTGCAAGGTGGGGGGGGGGGTATTTCATCAAATAATTTTTTTTCAATTTGGAAAGGCAATATCCTGTCACCATTACCACAATAATACCCCTCACTGCTGTGCGTAGCTACAAATGATTACTGACTTGGTCAACAGTCATACACTGAACCATATATGGGTCGATGAGCACACCCGGCCTCCATTTGTACAGACAACTTATGCAACACTGAAATAAAGCCAAGAACATTTTAAATTTCAAATATTCTTGCTACATCTAAAGACTGTTTAACCAAATCTATGAAGGTGCACAGTAAGGTACAGTTCAACATCAAACACTAGGTCTTCTATTTTGTAGCTTTGAAGTTTGCAGGCTTCCAGACCATCATAATGATCATATCTTGCCAGACTATTGTTTGGTCTATAAAAGACTTAGTTCCTTCACTGTCCCTCGAACAAAATCGATCATAAGGAAAATTTTTAGATATTAATCACAATTAGGCGTAAAATTGCATTACGTATAACTATAGTCCATAAACAACTCAAATATTAACATTAAATTTATGTTCCTCTTCAAAGAATATTCATTGAAAAACTATTTGTTTGAAATAAGACGCTAATTATTCAGATTCACCTGCTTTTGTTGGTAGGGTTTATTGTTTTACTATTTAGATATATAATATATTCATTGACTCGTGTACATTGCAGTTCCTGTCTTCGTTAAAAACATACTAGAACTTAATAACATTTTGTCAAATGAACTTAAAAGCTTCCATTTTGTTTTCCTTTACAAAAAGTTATCGATGAATGCACAAAGTTGTTAAAATTTGCTATTTCCTCTTCGAAACAAAATTGTTCGCTCCTGACAGCCGCCATTTTACATTGCACAGAAATACATAATTATGCAAAACATATGCATAAATTTAAATATTAACCTTGACGTCACAGACAAGAAATATTAACCATTGACCCAGCCGTTAAGTGGGCGAGTGGCGAGAACACAACGGCTGGAATCTGAGCCTATATACCGGTACTCTATAGAAATACTTAAAATACCTCTTCAGTGATGGTCTTGTAGACTTCCTCAAACGGGCGATAATGACCATCACCAGCTGGAACTGGGAAAGGTAAGGAACTCACATCTTTGCTCCGTTTGTCCCGTAACGGTCTAGAATTGGTTACACTTATAATCAACTAGCTCAATTTTATACAATTATTTGTGCAACGGGCCAACAACATACACTGTACCTGTAATGTTTATTGTTTATTTGTTATACATTGTTATATTGAAAGATTCAAATGTATTATACTGTACATTCATATGTATAGAATTTCGATATTCTTCATACAGTACCTGCAGATTTTGCAGTTATCATTACCACACTTCTTCACCTGGAAGCAATAATGTCCCTCAATGCAGCAGTGCTTGAGGAAAGCTTTAAGGTGTTCAAAGTCCTTTACATCCTTCATGGTTAAATGGTCGCGCTACACATAAATGTGAAAAAAGCATAAACAAATGACAAACCTCACACAGTATTCATTCAGGTAATTTTTTTATGTTCCACCCCTACTACCTACTACTACTGTATACCTGTAACCCTTTCTCAATTTCCAGGAATTTTTGCCACAGCGTGTTGATCTCTTCTTCTGAAGCTGGAGTAAAGGTCTGGAACTTCTTTTCCTTCAGACTTAATCTGTTCATCTGGCTGTTGAGAAGATCAATTGGAAATGACAACGATTCACCTAGCTCTTTCTTGAGGTCATCCAGGGCCGCCGAGAGGGGGGGGGCAGGGGGGCAAATTGCCCCGGGCCCCGAGGCTCTGGGGGCCCCTAGAAATTTAATGTTAGAAATTTAATGGGCCCCAGTCATTTTTTCGGGCAAAATATTTCTGTTTTCGGACCAAAATATTTGTGTTTTGGGAGCAATGAACCGAAATTTGGTATGGAAAATTGCGGAAAAGTCCAACGAAAGCAATTATAACGCACCTAAAAAGAATTTATCGTCCGAAAAAATTTTTTCCGGAAAATTTTTTTGCAATAGGGGCCCCTAAAAAAAATTTTGCCCCGGCCCCCGCCAAGCTCTCGGCGGCCCTGAGGTCATCCGTTGCCAACTTTTCCCTCATCTCTTTGACACTTTTCGCATTAGCTGAAATATATTAAAATATTTGATTGGTTAGAAAAAAATATCTGTTGTGATAATTTTTGTTGTACAAATGTGAAACATCTACACACCTATTGCTTTTTCAAAGTTGTCACCCATTTTCTGACGCATAAGGCTAATACCTTGTAGACCAGTATTCACAATACTCATTATTCTCTCTACAGGATTTGTCCACGAGTTACTGGGAGCTGTCCTTAAGGCAACCAACATATCAAGGTCCAGAGACCTGAACAATGCTATCATGGACAGTTTCACCGACATGTACGTGGTTCGGTGATCAGGCCCTCCATCTGTGTATAGCAGTAGGACAGGATGGACAGCTACAGTAAAATAGACTCTTAAATGACTCTTAAACAGACTATACTAAATTACACTGGCCATTGTTTGTTGCCTTGTGGGACTAGTTACCTGTGAATTAATTTAAAACCATAACAAAGAATTGCAATAGAACTTAAAAGCATATCATGATCATGCAAAAACATAATTTATTTCCACATATAGAACCTACTTCCTCTTAGCTTCAGAATTTCTGCCAGTTCAGTTGCGTGGCGCAATGGGGAAGAAGGCTTTAATATTGAATCCTTGAACCCAACATAAACATCGCCCCTGTAGAAGCTACCAGATATTGTTTGAGGAATATCAATCTGTAAAATATTTACAAAATAGATCCATTTTTTGTTGTTGTCTGGTCAGATGTTGATGCACAGATAATGTCACATCATGGTAAGAACATCTCGAAATGGTAAGTTCTACCACATTGTGATATTTTCTGGCCATCTTTTTTAATAACTGAACAGACAATAGATAATGCATCTACTTGTTTTATACATTAGCAACTCACCACCAAGTTAACTGATGGAGTCAAAGTACATTTGCTGAAGTCATGGTCCCCAACAGCCATCACCTGGTTAGCTCCAATGATAACCTGCTTCCCTCTTTCAGCTGCTGCCAATGGATACAAGGGCTGCCCAACCTTACATTTGTGCTTGTCGTCCATGCTGACCAATGTTGTCATATCTCTGTGGGTAATTGCAAACTCACGCATGTACCGCCAAGCAGCTGAACAATAATGTGCATCCACATGATTTACTCTAATCTGGAAAAGAAATATTGAGAACGCTTTCATTTAATAGGGCAACATCCAAACCGAAATTGACATATAGTACAAGAAATAGAAATAGCGGTGCAGTATTGTGGAATGAGATACCTCAAAATGTACGTTCAGTATGCTCTCTTAGTCAATTTAAAAGAGAAATTGATATCTTATTTTCTACTTGAAACGGACTCGTGCACGGCAATCTTGGAAATCAGTATGTAGTATATAGTATTGTAAATGTAAAAGTCTCAATTTAAATGTTCTCCGTGTATTTGTCCTATAAGTGTAAGTTATATTTTAGTTATGTTAATTAATTGTTACTATAAAATGTTATTTATGTTATAGTGTAGATTTTACCGTGCCTAAATAAAGTTTTGATTGATTGTTTAAAATATATACTACAGTACCAATCGTTTCTTTTTAAGGACATGAAGGGAGTTGAAAGAATTTCTAGATTTTTAGAAGTAATTTTTAAAGTGAAAAAAATATTTTTAAGGCAAAAATGCAGCAAAATTTATACTTTCCTGGAATTCTGAAGGTCAAAACAACACAGTCAAATTCTGGAGTAGTGATATTAAGCAATGTTTTTGTTTATCAAACTGTCACATGAAAACGTCAATGGACGTTTTCAGTAGCAACATAGGTTTTACATTACCTGTCTCTTTTGTACCATCATTTTGACATTAATGATCCCTTTGTAATACTTTGCTGTGTTGGCCCTTGGATTGATTGGCTGGAACTGATAACGCAACCACTTAACTGATGGCACATTGGTCCCTGGTGGTACTCTTTCTTTAATTCTTTCATGGAGATCTTTGATGCTGACTGCTTTGGCAAGGTATAATTGCTCACCATGACGCCTTTCATGACAGGCCACACCAATATCTTCTGCCAAATATCTCTCGGTTTCTGCAAAAAACTCCTTGAAAGTATCCTTTTTCTTTTCAGGTGACTGGTTCCTGAGATCAACAAGAATTCCAGCATCTTCACATTGCATTGCATACTGAAAGCGACTGTCTAACTCTCTCTCGCTTAGGTTTGCTGGGGCAGACTGATCACCTTTCAACTCTCGAAATATAGCTCGAAGGGCAACTGGCTTGACAACAAATCCAAACGCCTGCATGAAGTGCTTTTTGGTTATTCGTCTTTCATAAACTAGTATTTCTGCCTCTATTTTCTTGATCACTTGCAGGCATCTTTCGATGGTTTCTCCCTCTGATTTAGCCTCGTCCACTCTCCACACAAAGTGTAAGGCTTGTTTGCTGCCACCTGGTTGATGAGCATAGTGAATGCATTTGAACTTCAGCCCTTTCTGTTTCAACTCCTGAATGATTTCATAAACTCTCCGTCTATCACAGGTAGGTAGAAACTCTCGGATAGATATGGGACTATAGAGTTGAACATCTAAAAGCTGCTTGTCAAGGCCACTCAAAGCAGGATGAATTGGACTCTTGTTTACTTTCATTAGTGTGACATTGGCCCTAATTTCAACTTCACTGCGGGGGGTTTCTCGCGATACTTTGTTCCTAACATTGTCCACTCTGAGATGCAAGCAATACTGCTCAACAACTTGAACCATTTGAAGAACTTCCTGCTTTACCTCGGCCCATGGTATGCTGTCTAGGAACTGTAGTTACTGTATAACTTCTCTAATAGCAATGGCATGACTTTCCAACTTCTTTTCTGAGAGGTTGTTGAGCTCGCGTTTTCTATGCTTAGACTTTTCTGGGCAGTTAAAACCACTAAATTTCCTTTTAAAGACTTCTGGAAATTTCTTTGCTTTGCTTATTTCCATTTCAATTTTGAAATATTGCCCATCAAGATAATACACAAAGTCAGAAAGCCTGGCAACAAATACAGTGGCTGCTTTTCCACAATTGGCTGGGAAGATACACATCTTTTCCCGAAAGTATGTTAGAATTGTATTCTTTAGTTTATCTAGGTTACATTAGGGATCTGGACAAACCTTTGGAATACCTATGATAGCAGCTTCTTTGGCAGCAGCCATCATCACTTGAAAAGCATTTGTACTGTAGTAGGTGGATTTGCAGTGCCAGCATGGAGGCGACAATCGTCACAGTCTATGTCGCCATGTTTGATATTGATGGGAAAAAATCTCATGTTGAAGAAATTAACAACTTCCATCAAATCATTCTGTTGGAAGAGAAAGGAATGCAGTTGCTTTTTGGAATTCGTAGCTTGTGCGTTTGCACTTTAAATCAACAAAATCAAGCTGTCCATCCACTCCTTGGATAATATCGGCCCAAAGCTGCTGATAGGTGTAAGAAGTGTGATTTAACTGCACAAATCTCCATGGCAATACGATACGGTTCGCTTCACAAACACGAACTGCAACTTGTATTTTAGAAGCCATTATTTCATTTTAATTCTAAACAAAACAACATTATAATAATCATATAAAACTGTATAAGAAAAAAACTTATCAGATATTTAAAACTGGACATAAACTTTAATAGAAAACTTACCAGATTCATCCAGATTCAATTTTAATATATCCGCACACTCCATCTTCGAACACGGAACACATGTAAATTTAAAATTTAGATTGAAAATCCATTTCTAAGCTTATGTATGTTTGGTATGCGGTTGGTGTGACAACAACATCAAAATAACATCATCCAAAGTGTGACAAAGAGTAATACAAACGGATTTTAAGCTTTAAATTCGCGATAAATTTGCAAAGATCCATATAAAAGGCCAAGTTACCAAGTATTTGTATTTCAATTTTTCCTTGGACTTCCTACCCAATTGGAGATGAAAAGGTGGTATTTCTAACGCCAATCTTGCATCCTAGGTAATGATATATTTAATATTTTCTTTGATATTAAATTGTGTAAATTAACTTTTATAGCTCTTGACTCTTTGAGTGGCAGTACTCTCCCCTTGACGAGTAAAATCATTTGACGTCAGACAGAGTAAAATAGTAAAGTAAGGCGCATCAAGGTGCAATGCAGCTTAACACATTAAGTTCCGGCAGTATCCCCTCGGGCCTTGACAAGGTGGAATAGCTAGTCAGCTTTGGCATGAGTCTGGAATGCTGGGCATGCCACCTGGCACCGCCCACCGTGGGAAACACCTGTACATGTGAACTTGACCGAACCAATGTCAGAAAATTTTCAGCCAGGGTTTTGTGAAATCAACTGTAAATAGTGGGCACTTGGAGACTGCATACCTTTCCCAGTGAATTAAATTATGTATCATACATAAATTATATACAATGGGCTAACAGTTTACTCTGGCCGACAAAACAAGACAGACCTTTCTTATCCAATTTTTATCCAAATTGAACTAAAATTCAATCAATTTGTATTTGGGCAATTTCGATTAGTCGCACAAATTTTTGTATTTAATTAATATGTTTGATGGTTTTTATTGAGTTACTGTATCATACTAACAGACAAGCACACACAGACACACACATATACAAACACGGATGAAAATATATAACCTGGCTGAGATATAATAATACGCTGATGAAAACATAACCTGGAAGAGGTTATAATCCGTGTTGGCAAATGTCTGGCCGCACCAGCAGCACCACTGCCAGGAAATTTTTAACAAAATATCTTCACAGGAGATCAGATTACATCTTGCTGAAAATATTTGTCATCTTATATACTGCAATGCCATATAATTCACTTATTGTTTATAAAAGCATTTTGCAAATTGAGATTATTGTGCCGGAAATTTGATTTTGGAATTAGTTGCTGGGGAGAAAAATATATTTTCTAGGCTTAGTTATAATAATAATAATGGTTTAAAGTTTGTGAGTTCACGCGCATATAGGTATATCAGTGACATTTTCACTCGCTCCTCTGGTTTTTCATAAATGACTGCAAAGCCCGGTTGAATTGCATTCAGGACCCAACATTTCGACACTCCAGTCTGGTGTTCTTCATCAGGCCCATGGGATGACGTTATCTGCCAACAAGATGGATATATTCTTTTGGCAAATAAACACCGTCACTAAGTTACTATTTCATTTCCCCTTATCTAATTCTAAAGTTGAAACAGACTTTTAAGATGACATCATCCCATGGGTATATAAGATCACTGAAACGTTGGGTCGTAAATGCAATTTGACTGAGCTTTGCATTCATTTATAAAAATCAGAGTAGCGAGCAAAACATGAATAATAATGGTTTATTATCTCAATTTATCTGTACTTATTCATTTCTCATATTTATATATACTAAGTTATGTTAATATCCTTTTATAATTAGGTAACAGAAATGGGAAAGTAGAAGAGGTTGTTAGAGATGTATACCATTAGGTTAAGAATCCAAATTTCAAGGCTGTGTTGAACCCGCTGTTTTATGAAGGTCTCTTTATCGATGACCAAAGTGCACTGAGGGAAAAATTTGCCGAAAATGTAGACCTGCAGGTTGTTCGGAATGTTTGAGATTTTTGCAGAAATGAATGTGTTGGTTAGAAATGTGGTTGTGCCATAATGTTTCTGGACTCTAGATAGTTTTTGCTATTTAAAATTATGTGTAATAGCAGCCCCATGCCAATTGAGAAATCTAACAGCAACACTGCAAATGACTTATTTGGTAATGAAATATTGACAGTTGCATAGAGATTGATCGAACTATGTTTTATCCAAGTTAACAGTTCTGCATGGCTGTGAGGATTGGATCTCTTCAATTGGAGCTATAGCTAGCTATGCTGGTGACGTGTTGCTCTGGGGTCTGAAGTCTGCCATCAGTGATGGAAATGTCCGACAGGACTGCATGCTGCCAGAACATTTTGACATAATACTGTATCTACGCAGGAAATTTATGTCATCCGATGTAGTGAAATGCCATATAATTTACTTATTGTTTAGAAAAAAGCATTTTGCAAGTTGAGATTGTACCCTTTGCCTTGATTAAAGTAATGTTGGAAATGTCTGGCAGTGCCAGCAGCAGGGAGCCGGTTGCCAGAGCATTTTAACACAATATCTAGTATGCAGGAAAATTTTCTTTTATTTTACAAGAAAATTTTGTCATCTTATATATACTGGTTTACCATATAATCTACTTATTGTTTAAAAATTCCCAAGCATTTTACAAGTTGAGATTGTCTTGCACCGGGATTGAGGTCTATCGCAGTGTGCGGACCATACTTTTTTAAATCTACATGTACATATGCGGGAAGTTTAAATTTGACTTACACATGCAGGCCTGTCTGCTATGCTGAGCAAAACCAATATTGACAAGAATAGGTATTGAAAGAAGCTCAGGACTGATGAGTGTGTAGCTCTGGGGCAGATCTTCTCCTGATGGTTAACCCTAGCCTCAAACTTAATGCATGGAAACTTGCAACATGCATGTGAGTAAAAATTTAGCCTTTGCTAGTAAAAAAACTATTTCACCAGCAGTCGTTTGCGGATATGGACTTTAGTTTTATGTGGGTAAATGCATGGCTTAAATTTGCAGTTGTCAGCCAGGTATAAATGCAATAAGGCCATAAATGCAAGATTGAATAATTGATATTTAAGATGGATAAGGCCCAGGGGTGGACCGCAGGACCATTCGTCCCAAAAAATATTTTAGTTGGCACAAAATATTTCCTCATGAAAGAAAAAAAGATAATTGTAAAATTTGGAAAGAAGGAAAATTGAGGAAACATTCTAACCAATAGAAACCTAACCTGTGCTGTATTGTAGGTATAATTTCAGGAATGCAAATACAAGTACATCCATTTTAATAGTGCAGTCAGGGCTGTATAGCCAGTCCCTTGACGAGTCGCAGCATCTACTGTAATTCTCCGGCCTGTCCAGCATGGTCCCCCAGAAAATATTTCTATGTTAGACTCGTTTTGTGATAATCTGAAAGCCACAATTATTGTGGGATATTTTATGTCATAGATGAAAAATTATATAGGTGTTTACGCCCCTGGTTTCTTCTCAATTTTGAAAGAATTACAAAATTTGTCCTGAAGTAAACATCCCCATTCCTCCTGTGGGTATGCCTCTGAGTACAATAGTGTATAAATGTATAGACTATAGAATGATGTAACAAATGTTGTGATGGCAAATGCATTTTTAGCCAGACACCTGATGGGAAGCATGCCCGCAGATCCCCTTAATGCTGCCCTTTTTTTTGCATCTATAATTTTACCTTAGGATCAGACTGTCGATGCAAGTCATTTAAAGTAGTTTTATGTTATTCCTAAAAGTACTTATAAGATTTTTTTTCTGTTAACATATTCTGGAGTATGACATTCAGTTTGACAACTTGTTGGTGTTACACAGTTACACCATCGATTTAGTTAATTTTTTAAAAATCTTTCAATGTTCTCTTGCGGTCTAAAAGCAAAATATTTTTTCCAGTTCTGGTAAGGCCCATTATTTTACAACCTTGAAAATATGATATTCCACCGTCAACCTGGTTTTGAAAGTGGTGTTACTGCAGAGACGACGATTTCAGAAAGCCACCTTGCATATTATTTTTTTTAATATACACACAAGAAATGATTGTACCCCATGTAACTATTTCGAGCGGCGAAGACGCGAGCCATCTAGGGGTGTCCCGGGGCTTCCTCCCCTGGAAAAACGTATACATGCATTGCTTGCAAAAGCATGTGTAAAGACATTTATGCGAGTAGTATGATTTTCGTAGTCGATTTCGAGTTTTTAGCTCAAACATTAAGAAAATGGGCAAATTTAAGCCAATAGCTACAATTTTACCACCTTTAAAGATCTTTAACTCAAAACCAGCTTGGAAATTTTGCAGTTTTAATCCAACATAGTAATTTAGTCGGTAGAATGTTAAAACTCTCGAAATTTTAACTATCATGCCAAAATCAGAGGTTGGCATATAAAGTCTTGTTCACCAATGTTTAGGCTATAAGAAAATGCCAGTTGGCAGCACATGTAAGAAAAACTGCCACCACAGTGTGACTTTCAGAGAGTTGGCTCGTCGTCTAATATACATCCTCATGAAGAACAAAGGACACCGACTCAACTATCACATAATTTCTTTTGGAAAGTCAAAAAAATATGTCAAAAAAATTTCTAGTATTATTACAAAGCCGCCTGTTGACAGACAAGGTAAAAGATGACTGATTTGCACTGACTGAAATAAGTGGGCAATTACAACCACAAAACAGTGCATTATGAAAGTTCAAATTATAGCGTGCATGTTCTCTACCAGAAATCTGATGTTAATTGGTTAATATAAGTCGCTGTGTTGCTTAAAACGTGTTCTCTTATAAGTTCGTTTATTCGAAGTACTAGTTTATGTTACTAGCTGGAGAGATGATCCGCAAACTTTCAATTGACTTCGTATCAATTCCATTAGGTCATAACTGTTGCTTGTAGCTGCGCTCTCCTGTCCAAAAAGCTTTAAACTGATATCAAGTGCTTGCTGACATGACTCTAGAGCAAAATCGTAATCTTGCATTTCGTACTGAGATTCTGCAATGCAGTAGTAGCATCTAGCGGAGGCTGGGTGTTCCTTTCCATAGAGCGCCACACTAATATTCAGTGCTTGCTGGTGCCAATACACAGCTGAATCGTACTCTTTCAAGCGATACTTTGTCACTCCAATCATATAACAAGTGCGGGAAACGTCTACGTGGATTTTCCCGTGAACATTTTGTCTGATACGAAGTGCTTTCTCGTACGATTGCAGTGCCGACTCGTGATCGTTTTTCCGAGATTGAGTACGTCCAATACTGTAATAGCTCTCGGCGATATCCACATGCTTGTGCCCATAAAGCTCCGTTCTGATGTCAAGTGCTTCATAATGAGATGTCAACGCAGCGTCATAATTCTTCTGTACGCATAGAATTTCTCCAATCTGCCAGTATCTTTCGGCAGCATCCGGGTGTAGCCGACCATATTCTTTTATAAAATTATCAAGAGCGAGCTGCAGCGCTGCTGGACTCTCTTGGTTTATTTTAACTTCCGCCAGGGTGTTTTCAACGATGAAGAGTAGTGGTAGGTATAGACGGTCGTTCTGCGCTTCGGCTTTGACTTCTTTCTGTAACTTGGAAATTGGCAAATCGAGTTTATACATTACCTTCTTCATATCATAACAACTCGCAATGTAGTTGATGAGAAAAGCAAGCGCCAAAATGAGTGGTTGATTTAAAGCTTGTGGGTTTTCATCCTCTTTCTCGTCAGTGCAATCATCTTCTTGTATAGCTTTAAAGAAAGCATACAAGGATGGTCTGTTGGCGTATTCAGTTAAAACAATGTTCCGGTAATAGGAAGACTTTTCTGGGTGGGGAGTAATCAAAGCAAGAATCTGGGAGCATAAAACCTTAAGTACAGTATTTTCAGGACCCAACAGAGAAATTCCTGTTTCAAGAATTTCGCCTCCTTTCGCTGCCGCTTTACATCTTAGCAAGTGAATCCCATGGTAACACATTCGTTTTCCCATTGCAACTTCTGAAGTAAGGAGAGGATTTTGCTTCTCTATTTCGTCGGCCTCGTTTAGTAATGTCAATGTCGTTCCGTCAACCCAGGTTATTTCAGTGACAGCTTTAGAAATTAGCAATTGGTGAACAGCTTTAAATTTCCGCTGCTGTTTTGCCTTGGCTATTGCTAAATTGTAAATTCTGTCAAACATCCAGCCAAACTTACAGAAGAACACGGTGTCCAAAAACAGATCCGCATCGGAAAGAACATCGAAAATTGCGTCACAGACAGCTTCATTTTGAAGACCTTCCGAGAGACTATACACCATATTTTCTCTGTTGAATTCGAAATCGTGAAACGCGAGCATAGAATTTCCAGCAAGAAACTGGTTGTTTAAATCTTCACACAACTTTACGTAATAACTCAGGAATCGCATTTCTGCATCGCAAGCAATTTCTTTCATATCAACAGCTGCTTTTTCTGAACCAAATGACCTGATCACGGGGTGAAAGGAAAACAGCACTGGTTCGGAGGAATTTCCTTCAATCAAATATTTTCTCCTGAGCCCCAACAAAGTTTTTTTTGCGGTGTCTTCATCTCCTCCAATGATCTTTACTGCAGCTTTCTCGTCGAACACTTCACTGACAAAAACTGAAAGACAAGCAAATGCTTCTTGCTCTTCTCGAGATAGTCTTTTGAAATAAGACTCGAACAAGACCTTTAAACGTTGATCATTAGGCGCATATGGATCATCTAACAACTCTGCTACTGGTGTTGAAGAGCAGCTGAAGTGGTCAAGGAATTGAGATGCACTCTTCCTCTCGTCAACGATTTGACCGCACAAAAGCTTGATTGCCAGCGGAACGTCTCCACAAACCTCAGCCACTCTGCAGCATTCACTTTCATCAGCAGCGGGGAAAAGTTCTTGAACAAGCATTTGTGACAATTTTCTGTCTAGCGATGCAACACTGACAGACATGTGATCGCCAAATTTTCTTCCCAGCACCGATTGAAGACTCGTCCTTGTTGTCAATAGAAAGGACACATTTTTGCAATGAGAAAAGATCTTTTCCAGTAGCTCTAAAACATCTTGACTCGTTTCACCACTACTCTGAAAAAGGTCATCGGCGTTATCGAGGATGATGCAAATATTGGAAGGAATTGCACTGAGGAGTTCGCACAGTTTTGAACGCTCTTGCCCCGTTAGATCAGACGACGTATATGCAAATGTGTTTAACAGGTCAGAGATCAGCTCTTCCGCTGTCTTGACGCTTCTCAAGGAAAGGAAATAAACTGGTACTCCAAGCTGTCTAAGTTGGTGTCCTACTGCAATAGCCAATGAGGTTTTGCCAAAACCAGGGGGTCCAGATACAGAGACTACGTGAGCAGATGTGGACGTCAACGCACGCGAGATATCTTCAACTTTTTGTTGTCGACCAATGAAATGGGGCGCCATGGGAGGAAGGCAGGGTTTTTGGGCACGGACTTGTCAAACTCTGTGGTAAAATATAGAAAATACTATTACTACTGTTAATCTGTAGGGGTTACCTGATAGGTTAAGGGCCTAAGAGCAAAATGCTGTGAAGCACTAGCTTGTTTCTTCCAGTTGCAAAAAAGGTGCTGGTACTCATTGGGAGGAAACGTCCGATGGCATACACCTTGAAGGTACATCAGCCACTGTACTGTTTATAAAAACCGTCGGAACCGCCCCTCCCCCACCCCCCAATAATTTCCTCAACCACGATTCGTTTTCATAGCAAACTTGATTATTGGACGGGAATTGTTCTGGCAGAGAAGAGAGTTACGATAAAGTGTATTTATTTTAGTGAAAGATTATAATATCTCACGCTACATTGGGACATCATGAATTTGAGTGAAATATGGTACAAACGGTGTTTTGATAGGGCAATATGAGTTTGAAGTATAATATATGGTTGAATTACTCAGATTATGTTGGGCGTCTTATTAATCAAAAAATCAAGATTGGTTAATTGACCACTTGCGTAATAGACAAAATTTTGATCTCAACATGTCTAGAGAAAAATTCCATCACAGCTTGAAAAAGCATCACAAAATTAGTAATATTCCAAAGTTTCGTTGCGAAATGTTGTAAAAGGGTGGCAAATATAGCCTTGCGAAGTTTGTCGTTTTTCAGTTTTTTTTCATTACGCATGCGCAAGAGAAATTGACAGACCAATACCCTTTGGGTCTGTCAATTTCCCGTTTGTAATACAAAATAACTGAAAAACGGCAAACTTTGCAAGGCTATATTATCCACATTTTACAACATTTCGCAACAAAACTTTGGAATATTACTAATTTTGTGATGCTCTTTTAAGTTGTGATGACATTTTTGTCTAGGCTTGTTGAGATCAAAATATTGTCTATTACGCAAGTGGTCAATTGAATCGTATTGCCTGGTTAAATGAACCACGAATCGATCAGGAATCCTTGTTAAATTAGCCAGGATATTGATCAAATTAACGACGACTGTGGTTAATAAGTTAACCAGGAATTTAAATTGACCAGTTACATTAAGTTACCTCAAACAATGTTAATTTTAGGCTAACAAGGAAATTACTAATCGGGTTGTTTTGCGTGTATTATTCTCTATATATTTGATAACGGTGTACATACCTTGAACTTCGTCTGGAATATAAAATCTCTTCAGCACATGTTGAACGTAAGAAGCTGAAACTGCCGCACCAAATTCGCACCATGTCGAATTTTGAGATTTATCAGTTGCCCACTTTGCAATGGATTTACAGGACAGCCACGGTATTCCAGAGTTCTGACAAGTTTCATATACGCCTTAAAACGACAAAACTGAGGTTATCCTTGACTTTTCAGGAAAACAGCGGATCAAACTCGAAGATTTTCATGTCTTATACACGAAAGCGTTAGCCCGAGGGTGACATGTTCATGTTAACTTTTTGACGAGCTTTAGCTCTCCACGAGCCTCCTGTTAGAGCCTCTAGTCGGTCATCAGAAACTTGCAGATTCGTTCCCTGTCTGGGCCACTGGCATCCCAAGCTCACAGGTTGTTGCAATGACAGCCATCTTTAATATTTCAATACATAATGTGCTTTTGAATAGTGTAAATGACGCGTGTGTGGCGAAATATTTATAATACCGCGTGTCCGTAGCACGAGAGTAATTAATTTCTGTCATTAATTTTTAATTCAAACCTATAAAAACTGTAAATAATCTTTGTTTCTTCTTTGTCTTCTTTATTTGAACATAAATAAGAGTTCCGAAAATAGAAATTTGTACGTTATTTTGATTTTGTGTTTAAAATTTCTGCACTCACGTGACCGGGCGGAATGAACTTGGGTTTCTATTCGTCCCGATTAATCTTTAATCGGTACAGTTTTTAACCAATCAGAATCGAGTAAATTGACTAAAATAATATTGGTTATGAAATTGGTTGAGTCTTTTCATAAGTATTTAATTATTCCAACTTCACAACTATTTTCTCGGATTTTGAATGGAGATTTAGAAAATTCACTCTTGGCGACGCTTCTGACTGACAAGATTAAATTAGCAAACAATTTTTGTTTATTTTCCTGTTTTACAAAGAAATTATTTCGATCGCTTGCGTTAGTATACCTACGTTTTGCCGATATGTCTACTCCAACGGTTCCCGCTTTGTGCGAATCCCTCTTTTTTTCTTGACCATCTTGTAAACCTGTCGTTAACTGACCCACATGGACTTTTGGAACGACCACATTTTCACAGGGACCAACCCACGCAAATTTCCCACGGTCGAACAAACGGATCAATCCCAAATTGCAGTCATACGTTGTGCGATCAAAATTCGACAAACCGTCATGCTGTTGCTCAAGAAAGTAAACTTGTGATGATATCACGACATCACCAAGGGAATGTGCTTCTTTCCTTACACCATGGCAAACTCCCAGACTAACAATAGCTTTCGGTTTAAGTTCTTGGATTGTTTCATAAACCAGAACGTCATGACCTGACGAAGCGCCGGTCTTGCCGAAGTATGGAACTTTCAAGAGCGTAACTTTATTTCTACCGATTTCTCCAAAACAACGGTTTTTGTCACTTTCGTCTTTCTTGCTAGGTATTTCGACATTGGTTAATATTTTTTTCGCATCATTAAACTCCGTATCGTCCACTGTCAGCAAAAGAACATCGTTAAAATATTTGAATTCGGAGTCCGCGGTCGTGGTGCATTGATCTGAACAAAGAAAGATGGGGACAAATAAAAAACATGAGAAATAAGACAGACAGACTGAGGGACTGACGGAAGATAGATCTGTATTGTATCTGGAATAATCGGAAACAAAGGCATCTGTATAGGGAAACCACTTAATGATATTAGGTGCTACTCCGAGTGACAATCGATATCGAAGAATGAGGGGAAGACTTTACTTGGCGGCGGTTGGAAATCTATCCCGCGATCGTCCGTTTTCTAGTCCGATATACTTTCTGGTCAACTGATGAATCTAGACTGCGCCATCATCCCTTTATGGGGGTTGGAGGGAGGGTCTGTGGGAGTCATAGAAGTGGGGTTACATGGCGGACGACGGGGCAACTGCGGGCACGGGAGAGGAGTCAGGAGGTGGGACAAAAGGGATTGTGGACATTTTATTCATAACTGCGTGCACAAAAACCTGGAAAATCACTTTTTAAATATATATTAAGGTATAGTATTACATAAACAACTTACCTGTGGTTTCTTTTGTCTGTGTTAATTTTTTATTAATGATATTCAGCTCATGTTCCATTCCACTCATTTTACGTTTGATTCCACGCATTTCATCTTTAACGTCACTTTGAAGAAACCGACAGAATTCACTTCTCACACGATTGATTTTTTCATTCAGTTTTTCAATTTCCTTTGTAGGAAAATCAAATTCTTTCATGTTGCCAATCCTATCCAGAGATGTCGGGCTACAATTCGAACCAGTGTACGCATCTTTGGCGTGCTGGACATAGTCATCGAACTTGACTTTATTAATTTGAGGGTTGGATGTATGACAAAGAGTGTTTCGCAAAAGACGAAGCTGATCAATGGCAAGTGCAATTGTCTCATTTGCATCTCCACTTGAGCTTTTCACGGCAGTGTGGAATGGAGCAGGGGCTGGCTTTCGTCCTTTTAAATACATTTCACCAAGCGTCTTTTTCTTTCCTGTGCTGTCTGGTAGCGCAAATGTTCTTGCATACAGAGTGGCTTGAAATAGTGCAGTGCAGTCCCACTCCTTAAATGAGTTGTTCGTGGGGATTTTTGTGTTTGGAACCTCATTGTTGTGGAGTATATTGCGTACAAGGGGCGAGTCATCCCAAACTGTGGAACTCGGTGCAATTCTGGTATCCCACATGTCTACAAAGATGCTACGTAAAGCATCTGGGAATTCCTTTAGGACAATCGAAGCAAACTTGAAGTAGTTCAGCTCTTCATCAGAGTACGGCTGAATAGACATGTTGCCTGACTTTCTGAGTAAAAATGACACGAAAAAAGAACATGAAAAACTGATACAAGGAAAAACATTGATGAGTCACATGTTCACAGCAAACAGCTCTGACTTGTAAATTTAATGAAGGTAACTTGAAGAGTTACAGTTTACGATGCAATGTTTCGAAACTTCGGTAGGGTTATGCGATATTGAACAAATCATATCATGATTATCGTCTGGGAAATTATCATGATATTCCATAATAGGCGATATTAAATGCATTAAAAACAATGGCCGCAGTTTCAATTTTGGATAATATACGGTGAAAACATATTTTTTAAATAACATAACAATTAAGCTACATTAGCAACTAATAAGGTATATCAGTTTATATCTTATTACAAAGTACAACTTGGATTAGAAATCCTACCAAACAAGTAAAAACCTTTTTTATTTCATCATTACATAAACCTTTGCTATCTAGCGGCAAAGCTGCAAATTTATATCTTCTAGGCATTAAAAGAACTGTTTTCGGATTTTGTGAAAACGTGGTACACATGCCAAACAATATCACGATAGTCATTGACCATAACGATTATTACGATATATCGTCGCTTATCTTTCTACCTTCGATACGATAATCATGAGTGAAAATATCTAAATATCGCCTGCACTCCGGTTTAGATCTACTAGTGTCTTCATCAGGAGTGCATGTACACTCGAAGTTTTGCGAACTGTAACTTTTTTAATTTACGTTCATTAAATGTAGAAGCCAGAGGCATGAGCATGGGGCCTAATCAGTTTCGTTCATCACCTATTAAATTGTTACGAGGCTTTATTTAAGTAGTGTAGTGAATCGTTACAACAATCTTAAATAACTATCAGTTCTTAATGTTATGTTCGTCTTCTCGTAGTAGTTTTCCAAGAGTTCACTTCATTTCACTTTACTCATCAGTCTTCACTTTACTTCAATTTACTGATCAGTTCACTGAGAATCCATGCACTGAGGAATTTACTGAGAGATCATCCACTGAAAGATCATCCAGACGAATTTCGGTTGTGCACACCCTTTTATACTAACGGTTGAGGGAATCTATGTACACGTGATCTAGCAAGTGGTGTGATTTGTATCCAGCCAATCAACGTTGAGGTTTAAAAGTGTGGGTTGGCGTTGGTAGCTCGTTCCAGCCCTCAAATTCTGTTTATTTAAGGCGTTGTCGCACTGGTCGAGTTGGTTCGCTGTTCCTTCGATCATCATTAAAACATGTTCACAACTTAAAATACTTATCAAAATATCATAGTAAAAACTTCAAACTATACCTATGTGAACCTTATACTTTACCTACTAAACTAAATTTACTTACAATTTTATTGAACCAAGACTTTGATGACGTAATGTTATCATTACTCAACCGCGCGAAATATACCGAAGAACGATTGACAGAAAGGCCCTAAGCATGCACATTTTCATGTCAGAGAAGAACCCAGTGCCTTTTTTAAGGAATTTTCACTGGGGGGAGGGGGGGGGGGGCAAAACAGGAAAAAAGGCAGAACGAAAAATATGAGCCGTCGAGGTTTGGCGAACGTGCGATTCTGAAGAGAGATTTTGTAAAGAATTTTTTTGGGTGGGGGACGAACCTCACGCCGAATGCGTGAGACCGTTTAGGAAGGTCCGGCGGGGTCCGGAAAATTTTGAAATTTAGGGTCCCACTTATAAAGTACATCGAAGACATGAATTTTTCCAGACATTTCTACTCGGAATTAAATAAATTGGAAAAGCCACCTTGAAAAATAGGAGGAGGGGTCAGTGTCACCTTATTTCCTTTCTGTGATGCTGGGGGGAGGGAATCCCAATGTGATTTTGATCAGAAATGTTGCATTTAAATCATTTTAGGTTCTATGAGACACAATTTCCGCATTCTCAAAATTGCGTTGCTTTTTCATACGATACAGAATAAGTCTGAGAAGAAATAATCATGCCATGATGATGCATACATGTATTTAACAGTTAAAAATCTAAACTAAATCTATTTTTCTTGGAACCATATCTACAACTGCTTTAACGAGATTTCACAAATCAAGTTCCTCCAGTATATCGTCTTTTTCCTCAGTCGTCTTTTTCCTCCTCCAGTATATCGTCTTTTTCCTCAGTCTTCCCCCCCCCCCCCAATTTCTCTACGGATTTAGCCTTTCTGTTTTTGTGTCGATTTGGGGGGGGGGGGCTTTTAATATAACTTGATATTTTTAAGAAAAAAATTTTGCAAGTAAACCTCCCAAAACAAAACAAAACGTCTCTGCGGAGGAGAGTGCTAGGAAATAGTCGCAAGGCTTGGAAAGGCTAGCATTTTATAGGATTGTTTGCATGAAATCTATGACTATTATGAAATACTCGATGAAGAACAATATGAATTACACACAAGATGGCTGTGGAGGAGGCCATGGAAAGGCATAATCCCATTATCAAGTAAATCAACTGCAATTCTGACAGCAATCATGAGCAATTCTGCTTCGCACTTCGGGGGCAGAAATGGCTTTACTGGGGGGGGGGGGGCAAATTCATTTATATAGTTAAAAAAGACACTGGAAGAACCAGCCTTGGACTTTGAATTGTGCAAACACAACAGCCCACCATGCAAGGTTATCGTCCATCTTTGACAAATTGACGAGTTATCTATCTTGCCTAATGGACAGATAATTGACATTTTTACGCACGTCCGAAATGAGATATACTTTATCTGCGTTTTACAGCAAAAATGCTCATTATCTCTCCATTTGACGTAATTAGTATCTATAATTACCTGGGGTGCAAGCTGAACTATTTTTATGCTATTTAGATATACTTTCGTAACAAAATGAAACTGGCAGAGCCGGAAAGGCAGTAAGATGTTTTTGCTTGACTTCTCTAAGGCTTTAGATCTCATCAACCATACTATTCTCCTTTAGAAGTTTCCAACATGAATGTGTACGTTGATAAACTGGATAACAAGTTTCCTTATGGATAGAAAACAACGGGTTAGATTGAAAGAATGTGTTTCTGAGTGGCGAACCGCCAATGATGGCATTCCACAGGGAACAGTTTTAGGACCGACACTTATTTGTGATGATTAATGATATTTCGTCATGTTGGGCTGACCGATGGAAATTCGTCGATGACAGCACAGTCACAGAAGGCAATCCGCGCAATTGTGATAGTAACTTACAAAATCTTTTTAATTAAATCAATGGCTGGACAATTCAAGACAAAATGAAACTCAACGTATCTAAATGTAAACAATTAATTGTTGATTTTTCAAAAGATAAACGGCTGTTTGTGCCTTTGGATATCGGAGGTGTCTTGGTCGAAAGGTTAGAATCCGCTCGTGTGCTGGGATTTATTATCACAGAGTAGATACATATACAGAGATGTAACTAGTGTACCCACTTTTTTTGTGCGCATGCTCGGCAAGTTACTAGATGCATACATCTGATTGGATGACGACTCGCTTTAACGTGCTCGCGGAACTTGCCGAGCACGCGCAGTTGATCATTTTCTGCACGGTCGCCTGAAAAAGGTGGGTACATGAAAACGTAAGCATCCGCAGTGTTTACAACGGTCAGTTACAGCTCTGTATATGTATTTACTCTGTGTTATTATCCAAGATGATATGAAATTGAACGAGCACGTTAATAGCATTGTGTAGAAAGCAGAGAAAAGGTTGTACATGTTGAGAATATTAAAAACGATCAAAGCTAACGTAGATACGTTATTAACGGTATAAACCACAGTAATTAAGTGGTGCTTGAATACGCTTCCCAGGTGTGGCATTTTAATATTCCTGAATATTTATGGGAGGAGATTAAAGTCCTGCAGAGGCGTGCATTGAGAATAATTGTACCTTGTTTGAGTTATAGCAAAGCTTTGCGCTACACGAAAATGTTAACTTTCAAGAAACGCTGTGACAAACAATGTGATACATTTTTTAGAAACAACGTACCATGCCAATTTGAAATTGCAAGAATTTTTACCGAATAGAATTTTAACTAATTATGAAGTAGGAAGTGATGAATTTTATGACCATTGTCTCTGCAAGACTGAACGTTTTAAAAACTTGTTTTTACCGCAATGTGGCATTAGAAGTAATTGCAAGTAGTCTCTAGTTATTGTTGCAGATTTTTAGCACTAATGTAATTTAACCGTTATAGGTTACAAAATCGGTCTTAATAAAAGTATAAAGTATGGGGGGGCGGGGCGGGGGGAGGATGTAGCCTACTTGGGACTGCATGAACTGTACTGAATCAACAATTTGAGCGTGTGCAAATGCTTAAGTCTTTCATAGTTTGCTCAACTCCTGCGTCCGGGGCCGTAACTTGGATATTACGACTGAGGGGGAGGGGGTGGGCTTATTTTGCCCGACCAAAAGGGCGTGGCGAAAGTCGTGCCCGACGGACATTTTAGTCGCTAATTAATATTTGTTCTTCGGACATACCATTTTTCAATGATTTACCGAAATTCGTACAATTTTCAGTTTTCAATTTTTCCACAATTATTCCTTTTCAAAAAAATTATGCAATTTTTTTTGCTGAGTTACGTTATATTCCTTTCCGACGAGCGCGTCGTTACAATTGCCGGACAAAACTGCAATATTACAACATTGGGCGGATGTCGCACCCCTCCCCCCCCCCCACAGACACACTCAGGGGTTACGCCCCTCCTTGTGTCCTAAGTTCGGTATTCGACAATTTTTCAAGAAATGTTCACATGCTTTCAGGTCTAAAACGATAATTTGAATTCTGTTTCTTCTTAGATTTTAAATGTTAGAAAACTTTTAATTAATGTCTAAACTACCCATCCAGTGTATATTTTTGTTTGTTTCACTTACCATAAATAATTAAATAGCCATGATTTTGTTTACAGTCTGGCATTTAAATTCCCCGCGCGGAACAATACAACATTTTGATGTCAAAGTTGCGGACTAAAAAACTGCTGAAAATGTTGGCTTAGAAATAAAAAAACTTCAGTGATACCCAGACTAATTTGCTAATGTTAGTCAGCATCTGAGCTGCTGGATTTGCCATGAAATATGTTAAATCGTGGGTTCTCGACGTGTTGCTCAGTTTTAATTCTTGAAATTATTTTACAGTGTTCTTTGTCTTTTGCCGAATCAGTATATATCTGGCAGTTTTTATCAGAAGCATCGAAGTTCCGTTTAAAATCACATATGTTTTCTATCTTTTTCTTGCCTATTTTCAATCTTTCGCCCCAAACTTGCCGAGACAAAAACAAATGCTAAGCCAGTTCATGTTACACGTAGAAGTATAGATGAAATTGCTTTATTCCTTTGGTCTATTCCTTTTTGCTTTCTGATAAACTTTGTGTTTTAAAAGCTCTATAGTTTTATTTATATTTTTTGTCAAAAAGCAGACTGAGATGAAGGGCGCACAGAAGTTAAGTGCAAGGCAGTGTCACAGACCACAGTGTATTATTGCCTTGTAATGCACACGCATTAGCCAATCAAATTGCATGTTATATGCCACTTATATTATAAAAGAAGGTCATACTAAAGTTACCACGCCTACAGGAACAACATTCCTTCCTTATATTAATTAACCCGTTCAAGGAAGAACACGTCAAAATCAATGCCTAGGCATTGATTACTACAAATTTGCCCTTGACTCATGCTAATACCCAAAATTCTGTTATCTAATTTCTATGTAATTTCTATGTAATTTCTAATATATGTTTATTATTCGATCATGCATGTGTATATTTTATGTACTTATAAAGCAACCAATGTGTTAACATGGCCTAACTGGAAGTTTTTCACAAATACGTAGTTAAAGTGGAAGTCAAGTCCGTATGTAAACAAACGGTTTGTTTACACTTTGAACTGCTGTATTTTTTTTAAATATGATGTACTGTCTGAATATCTAATACCATTTTGGTTTGCTAAGCTTCTAAATGAATATGAAATAGAGTTTATGTTCAGAAAAATTCGAAACATTCGAAATTTGGGCAATGTTTACATTAGAGGGTCCTCACATTGTTATGAGCAGAACAGATGCGCATAACGCACGCTTGACTTGAACTTTAAGTTTAATTAAATCTTTCTAAATTTTATATAAATACTAATTACATGAACAAATACACTTCAATTCATGCACAAAACTAGATGCTTTTATTCATTTAGTTATTTCAAAGGGATTAAAATTCCGTCGAAAGCAGCCTTATATTTGACTATTGTATATGCGGTCGCGTGATTATTGAACACTCTTTCCCAAAATCTCAAGCGGTCGATGCCAGTGTAGTTAGCGACGATAACAACCAGCTCCGGTGTGAGAGAGATACAACTATACCTGAAAAATATAAGCAGAACTTCGACGTTTCGAGGGAAGGCCTTTCATCGGGAAGACCCTTCAACAACGAAATGTCGCTCGAAATGTCGAAGTTCCGTTTATGTTTTAGGTAGTGGAATCTCTCTCCCATACGAAACCAATCACTTAAATAAAAATACAATATTTTTTCAAACTTACGATAAAGGTGATAAACTTGTATCCTCTGTGATCGGAATTTTCGATAAAGTGGGAACACTAAAAAATTTCAATGACTGCATAGCAGGAGACTCGTGAATATTTAAATTTTATGAATAAGAAAAACTACGACCTGAAAATAAAGAAAGTCATTAGAATGACAATACGATAAAAAAGACGATTAAAAAAGTACGATTAAAAATGTACGATACTTTAGTGGATTTCGTCGGTAAATCCTGGAACCCCCCTTGGAAAGACCTCAGTACGCCCCTGGCTGATCGTGTTGTGTAGTTCTCACGCATGATTATCCTAAACGATCTGTTTTGTAATTTTTGTAGTTTGTTGCTAATGTTTTCCAAAGGCAACCCCACACTTGAGCACAATAATTGAAAAAAGTTTAATTATGGATTGATATATTTGTTATTACGAACTTTGCTTACGGAGACTCGAAATTAAGGAATCCGGCAGTCGTGCAACTTTTTGCTTCTCACTAATAATTATAAACATTTCCAAGTACCAAGGACGAACGATACCAGAAGAAAACGATAGACTAAAGAAATTCCTGACGTACACAAGCTAGGTGCGAGGGGACTACTTCCGTCCGGATATTTACACCCGCGAAAAGCCAGAGAGGTAGCGAAATGAAAACCCCATCAAATGTCGCGAGCGTCAACTTTGTAAGATGTAAAGGATGGTCAGAATAACTGACCATCACAGTTAAATGTTATATATATATTGGAAGGTGATATATATTACATTTGTAAACACAGTTGCACAAAAGGCACGTTTCGTAATATTCCTCCCAAGCCTACCGGCTTGATACAAAATGAGTTGAAATATTTCTAGTATTCTACTTTATTTTATAGCTCTATTTCTTCTGATTTTGAATTTGCTATAATAATTAATTCATTTGACTGTTATTCGTTTGTTTCGAAGAGGCTCATTTTTTTCACAAGCAAATCTTTGATGACAACACACGTCTTAACAAGTTTTTAGACGTTCTCTGGTTTTTAAATATTTATTATTACGAGCTTTCGACTGCCACTCTGCAGTTTTCAACGGGTGGATTACAATGAGAGTGTGATAATTACAACGGTTTACAATTATACATATAGATACAAAATGACAGAAATATGACAGTTCCGCCTACATACAAGATTAATGACTTAAATTACGTGTAAATAGATTCAGAGTGAATCTATCTACATGTAATTTAAGTCATTAATCTTGTATGTAGGCGGAACTGTCATATTTCTGTCATTTTGTATCTATATGTAATTGTAAACCGTTGCAATTGTCACACTCTCGTTGTAATCCACCCGTTGAAGACTGCAGACTGACAGTCGAAAGCTCGTAATAATAAATATTTAAAAACCAGAGAACGTCTAAAAACCTATTATGAATAATCCTGATTTTGCTTCAAACATATTTAAACACACGTCTTATACATCATTGCAGTTTAATGTTCAATTCCTTTTTTTTCTGGATTGTTATAGAAATTGAACGACATTCTTCTTCATAGTGATTAATAACATAGTTTAAACATTTTGACTTTTTATCCAGTTCTCGTTTTAACTCTTCGATTCGCAGGTTGTGCTCGACAATAAGTTCTTCATATATCTTCATCTTATTTTCATCAATTTTCAAACATTTTGAAAAACTAAATTTTGAACGACATGCAATGTTCTTCTTTTGAGTGCAAAATTTATTTGAAACTTTGCAGTATTGTGATGAGTGGCGAAAATTTACACCAGTCAGATACCATAGTGTAAACTTTCCGGGGGGGGTTGCATCACTTCTGATGTGTAAAATATTACTGTTGACTAATATATTTTTTCGAATCTTTAAACCGAAATTATCACATTGTATCACTACATCAGTGTCCAATGGAAGGAAAAGTAAGTTAAATAATCAAAGGAATATCTAAGCAGTCTCAAACAGCCTACATGCAGCATCCCAACCTCTATCCTCCGCAGAGCCTCCTTAATTATTTACACATAACTTACATGAAGTTTCCTGAATAAAAGTGAGCGCGCGCGGTGTGATGGTAAGATGGAAATGAAGTTAGGGAGGCTTTGTCAGATAATGCGACGAAGTATGGTTTTTGAACCAAACTAGTTGTTTGACCTTTTTTAAACATGAAATCGACGGAAATGTGAAAGAAATTGAAATGAATCTTCATAATCTGAGTATCGAAGTTCAATAGAGTCATTTTTATAAAGAAATGTTGCAATTAAGAGGATGTTTATAATTAGATAGCTCGTATCCATTGATATTCGTTTGCAATTTCTCAATGTTTTTCGATGCAAATTATATTGAATTTACTCCAGGATACTCCAGTACGCCTGAAAATGAAAGTCGAAAACATGTTTTAACACCCCCGATGGTTGATCGAACTTATATAATTAGCTACAAACTTATATACGACGCCATATTGATTGCATTAACTCGCAGCGGCTTCTTTTATTTAATTTAGCTCTTCCCATCACTCCTTGCGCGCTCACTTTTCCCTCATTAAAAACTTCATGTAAGCCTCTGCGGAGGAGAAAGCATCCCAACAATGTTGGCAAGCACACCCGGAATCACAATTTTTAAGAAAATTGCAATTGAGCACGTGTATGGGACACGGACATTAGTATTTTGTTATGGCCAATCATTATTTATATGTTGATGAAGCAATGAGAGTGTTCATATATCAATGATATATCTAAGCAATTGAATTATATTACAGTGCATGCAAACACAGGAAAAAAATTGTCAAAGCTTCGTCTTCATAATGCTGAATAAATATTTAATACTGCAGTGCATATTCGAATATTCTGCCTATACTACATACAACTATACAGTATTTCAGATTATTAGTTTATTGACTGTAATCAGATTGAGAAGGTAACTCACTGTTGCTTTGTATTTCACTAGGATCAATTCAGGCATCAATATTGACATAGACCATGCACATGCAGCCATGCAAATTATATTTTGACGTACATCAGGAATAAACTAGCAAATTGCCGCCCCCTGGATATTAGTCATATGAAAATATCTCAGAACATATAGACACAGACTGTTTTTATTAGATCCGAGAATTCCGAGGATTGTGATTACCTAAGTAAGCAGTTATTCAAGCGATTAATTTGTGTTTGTGCTTCTAACTTGTGCATGGTTTCTAGCATCATATATATTTTTTAGGATTTCATGATCATATCAAATTTTAGCAGGTACGTCCCTGCAATAACCTAAACGTAGTAATGATTAAAACTCAAATAAGTTAATTAATATGAAAATTGTTATATAATATAGCAATTTTACAGACAAGCTTCAAATTTTTAATTTTCTCTTTTCTTATACGGTATTTTGTGGCGTAGTGTTGCTCGCAAGGGAACATCCAATTTGACTGTAAAACTCCTCTAATTTCTGGTTTTAATTGTCATGATTTTTTAACTGTTTTTCTAGAGACACAGTTTCTTTCAAGAGTAATGTGATAATTTGCATAATATATTAGAATGTGTTTTTTTTAAATTTTATCATGCATGTGTATTAGTGGGCAAGTTGCATGAAAGTATTTTCTCATACCAACCATTATAAATCTTAGATCTTGTGGCATGAAAGTATTTTCTCATACCAACCATTATAAATCATAGATCTTCCGCAGAAATGTGTACGCTTAGCGTACCTATTTTTAAAAAGTATAGGATCTGCTGTTAGCGAAGAAGCTTGAAATGGACGAACGATAGATTACTTAATTACATTTATTAATTAGCACATCAATAATCTTTGCACAGTTCACACTTTCTACTAAGTAAATAATGCAATTCACAAATCACAGTTTTCAAACCGATGTAAGCGATACACGACTACGGTGGATGATCAGCTATAGATTAATTATTGATGTTAATTTCTTCTGGAATTCTTAAATCTTAATTTCGGCCTCAAGGATAGGAAAATGTGGTGATGCCGTTGCCAGTCAATACTGCTTGCACTGCCGGCGTACCCGCACGACCATATATCAAGTAGAATTTAGTGGAAGGGCATTCTTTCTGGAAATCTTGCTTGACGTTAACGTAGTTCCGTGCACATCCTGTTTGGTCTCTACTGTTATAACATGGATATATCTTGGTGCCTATGCAAACGAAGAATTAAACAACTTTACGCCATTTTAAACTGCCTATCATGGGAGAGATTTTTTTGCAAAGAACTCTGAAAACTGTGACGTAACTTCATTTAAAGGTTTTCATTTGGATTTCGTGTCTTTAATGAAATAACTAAGTTTTCTTGATGTGAGGCCGGTTGTATCAAGCCCGTTTAGCCGGGTGGATAGGTCAAAACATTAAATAACACTCTTGTATCTCTCGTGAATCAGACAACTTAAATATTGTACACTAAATAATTGTACACTTGTAAACATTATCGTTCTATTAAGGTTAGAAAACTTTAGTTTGGTTGTTGAATCTATAGACTTGCTTTCTATTTTGAGCTTAAATTAAGCAGGTGGCTCGATATTATTATCACAAAACTCCGCTCAAGAATCTTGAACGAACCGGGTGATCATTTCTACGCGTATGTGGTAGGAACTGATTAACAAAATAAAAGAACTTCTAAAATGACCTGACGTGGGCAATGCTCTCGCCATCTCACGTAATTGCGCATGTTCTATAGCGTTTTATGTCATATGCTGACGTCATTAGAATTTTTTATTTTCGAAAAACAATGCTCAATCTCGTTATTTTGTCTGGTGACCTATGCTGAAATTTTGCATGCTGTATTGCATCGCTAAAACTTTTATTTCACCAAAAATAAAAAAAAATTATGTAATGGCAAAAAATTTTACCGAGGAAAACGACATTTTTTAATTAAAAAAAAATGACATTACACAATTTTTATATATTTTGCTAATTCTTAGTTTTTCTTCCAAGTAATATAATGAACGAAAAAAAATTGGGGATTACCCTGCTTATTTTCCATCTATACGAGGCGATAGCCTATTTTGGAGTTAATTTCGTACACGTATGTCGCCATAGCAACGATCTATCTGTTAGTAGAACTGATATGTTTGAAAGTAGAGACATTAAAGTGTATAAAAATCCCAATATCTACTGAATAAATCATCAAAATGGGTAGTTTGTGCATATCACAGTGTTGAACACCTGAATTTTTAAAAATTGTATCGAGCCACCTTAAGCTAAACCGTCTTGATACAACTGAACCCTGCACTGTAAACAACACAAAATTACGTCACAAACTGCATAATAAGCTTTCGTTAATTTAGTTCACTGACAGCAGCTTTTTCTTTTCTTTCTATTTCTTTTGTAAAACTTTTTTGTTTTTGGAGGCTCTTCGTGCATGCAATGCGTTGCCTAATTTTGTTTACAGTGCACATCTGAAAAATTAATCATCTCACTAATGAAGCGAAAAAACGAGAATGTGTCAAAAAAGTTTTACTGGTATTACAGTTTTAAAATTTTCTTGAAATGCATAAAAAAAATTCCGCTTTGTAAGAGGTTTAAGCAAATTTATAATATATATGAGCGGTCGAAAATTTCATCTTCGGGAATTTCGTGGCTTAAACTACCGAGGAGCGAATATTTAACAGTTATTCCACGAACTCTAGTCGTATATGGCTATAGTAATAGTGAGTAATAAACAACTACTGCATTCCCCGACTCATGTATTTTGACGTATTTAAAACAATTAATCAATTGAAATTGTTTAAATGTTTGAAAAATGTTTTCTTTGTGTTTCGTCGTCGCTCTTTCGGCATTATTTATTTCAAAACATATTCATTCAAACCAGTTTAAATATTAAGAACCAATATTCGAATCTGTAAACAATTACTATTAGTATTTTCAAAGTGTTTTTATCCCATTTAAGGCTTTAACTTTTGCAAAACTTGCTGTTTCTCTGTTTGAAGTTGCGCGATAGATTTTTCGCCGCCATCTTGAATTCTGTACTAGTAGGAAACATTGAACTATAAATAACTGGAAGGCTAACTCCTATGATGAAAGTCTATGATTCGTTGAAGCCGGCGCGCGGGAAAATCAGCATTCAAAAGGACTAAGGCGAGTTTTGAGGAGTGAAAAAATTCTGTCAAAAGTTTGTTTTCGAGCACAAATTTGCAAGAGAAACACTTTTTCCATGGGAATCTGCATTGATTGGGATTCAAATCAGGTTTTCCGATTAGTTCCAACTGTTTTACATCTCTATGCAGCAAAAAGTAAGGAGTTTTGCTTTTGTATTTTGAAAAAATGACGAAAGTTTGGACGTGCCGAAGAAAACCTCGCTCTTCAACTCAAAAAAATATACTATAAAACATTTTGACAGTCCCAAAGTTATGTTGTACTAAACCACGGGTATTGTTATTGATCCTGAGCTTTTAGTCCTTGTTTTATTCCTTCTAAAACAAAAATAAATTGGCGTTTTTCAAGTGCTGTTATTTTCGTCATCGCTCTTCTTGTTGGCCACTATGAGCACTTTGAATATGGCAATATTTTTCTCAATTTTCAAATGCTTTTTTTTCGACCTTAAAACGTTCAATCTTCTTGATACTTCGCATGCAGATGTATTTTGCATGGGTTTAAATAATTCCTGAAGTATGATGTCTTATAGTGTTATCTTAAACTTTCAAAAACTCAGAAAAAGCAGCCATAAACGCGCGGTTTTTCATACTGTTCATGCTTATGGTCGTGTTTTTCGTATTTTTTTGCTAACTTGTGATTTGTTTGCTTTGCAAATATTAAATTCGTTTATCATACTACTGATATAACTTAAATTTGGTGGTATAACTAATATTTTGTGGCAAGATTTTTCTGATAAAAAAATGTGCATATTTTGAAAAAAAAAATTAAAAAGGACTGGATCTACCTACAAGAAAGCTTCAATCACGGGTTCACCTCCCCCCCCTTGACTTAGCCTTCCAGTTATTTATAGTTCAATGGCAGGAAATGAGCTAATATCCTACTAGTAGAGATCCAATCAGATTGCAGCATAGCTCATATCCGGTGCTTGCCTATATAATAATCCGTTATATGTATATTCACGAACTTTGTTCAGTTTCGTGGACTTGTTCGATAATAATGAGCAATAACTCAAAATTTTCAATACATATTCCACTCTTGAATTATTAGGGACCTTAAGCACGCAGGACTGCAACGCGACGACGGTGGCCAAAACAAACTCCTTCAAATAAATGCTTGTAAAAAAAACTTGTCGTATATTATCGATCGTATGATGTTAACGCAGTTTAGGACGTTGAAAACATGGGATTTACGTTTGGGAAGAATTCTACTGAACCCAAGTTGTAATTTGCCGTTGTAAACAGAGCGGCGACTACGTCTAAGACTCCCACAGGTCTTTCATTATTCATTACTTTTTAATGACTCATTGTATTGATAGCCGTCTTCGTCGCGTTGCCGTCCTACATGCTTAATGTCCCTATTTACTCGTGGCCGTCGACCCAAATCCAATTATCTGAAAATTATGGCCCCCAAAAATGTTTTGCCAATACTTACCCAAAATCACATAACACGGACACTCGTTCTTGTGTCTTGCTATAAAGTTGTCGGCCATGATGTTAAAAGAATTAAGAAGTTGTTCTTCAGAGTGCCCGATGTTACCTGGTCTTCCAATCGCTTCGGGAGTTGGTTTTGCGAATTGAAAGTTGGTGGTTTCTGCTTTTGCAGGCCATATTATTTTATTAGGGAGAGGGCTGCTATCAGGAAGCGGTTTCTTTATACCAGGGAGCGGTTTCCCTTTACCAGGAGGCGGTTTCGTCCACTGCATTACCTTACTGACTTTAGGATCATCAT